TAAAAAAAATACCTACGGATTCTGGAGTAGAGTTTACAGTTCCCTGTTCTGGTTCTTTGTGTCCTGAAATAGAATTCAGGCATTTGTCGCATTTGGGCAAGTGTCCATTCGGGCATTTGTCGCATTTGGGCAAGTGTCCATTCGGGCATTTGTCGCATTTGGGCAAGTGTCCATTCGGGCATTTGTCGCATTCGGGCAAATGTCCATTCGGGAAATCGGCCTTCGGGCAAACGGCATTCGGGCAAGTGACTTTCGGGAAAACGTCCGACTCCCACATATATATATATATATATATATATATATATATATATATATATATATATATATATATATATATATATATATATATATATATATATATATATATATATATATATATATATATATATATATATATATATATCTATATATATATATATATATATATATATATATATATATATACATATATATATATACTTTTTTACTTCATATATATATACATATATATATATATATATATATATATATATATATATATATATATATATATATATATATATATATATATATATATATATATATATATATATATATATATATATATATATATATATATATATATATATATGTCACATCTGGAGGGTCGCCGATGTTTGTCGTACCTCTGGGACGCTGTTCTTTCTACGCCTTAAGTTTTCATTCAGCACAGCCTGGGCCTTGGGCGTCTGGAAGTTGTGTGAACTAAACTGTTATAGCAAAATGCTTCAGAAAGTACTACTAATGCATTATAGTGTAGTTAGGAACTCATTAGAAATTAAATTCATTTTATGTTCTTTAGATGACGATCCAAACCTAAAAAGTACACAACTTACTGAGGAAGAAATCTGTAGATTTGCAACTGTTTTTGGCGGGACTGGGAAATATTTCTTATGGTACTTGGTTTCAGTTCAATACAAGTGGAGAATGAAAAACTTAACTGTGGTCACAATGTACAAAATACTATTGCGAGATGTTTAGGTATATGGTACAGTAAGAATCGAAACAAAGCAACATATCAATATATGATTAAAGTCTTGACCAAGGCACGTGATGAGCACAATGTCGACGTCGATATAGCCCTGGCGGAAAGTTTATTCTAAGCTAGAGTTATAAGAGTAATAAAGAGGGAATTTTTCACATGTAAAGAGTATAATTTTACATAGCATACTCTTATTTTAATATAATTTATTTTATTTTATTTTATTTTTTTTTAATTCTTCGTCACGTTTTATTCTTCTTTCGAAAGTATTAAAGTTTGGTAATCTATCGTTTTGGGTACGTAAAATCGCCCGTGGCTATTTATGTACGAAAACGTTACCTCATTGTCAAGGCTTTAATAGAGGTATATTGTCATACTTTTGTGTCATATATTATAGATAAATGAATAATAAACCTAAATCAATGGCTAAATATATCGATATAGGCCAGAAATTAACTTTAAACAGCAGTGTCTGAGAGCAAGATTTGCTATATAAACAGCAGCCATTTGTAAAATAGAGTGGCTTCCCCCTGAATCTGGCGCTAAAAGCTTATAAAAATAAAACTTAGACAAGATGGTTGCTATAGTAAATGAGCATGGTTGCATCTGTTGGAAACATCGCTAGTCTTCATTTATTACGGAAAAGTTTTAATTCAATTGTTTAAAAACAGGTACAAAAATGAATCAAAAAAACATTTTTGAATTTTTTAAAACATAAATCCTCCTCAAAATGTGAAATAATTATTAAAATTTAAGGAGTCACCTGTTTTTCACATTACAAATTGCGGGCGATTTTACGTACCCAAAACGATAGATTACCTAAAGTTTTTCTTGTTGAATTAATCCGTTGATATTCAGTTATTAGCGTTTATAAATAAAAATGGTACCTAATTTCCGATTTCTCAACAACCTTCACAATTTTACAATTTCTTATATTATCGAATCAGCATGTTCAAAGAACTGCTTGCCTCCAGACATTTTCTCGAAAAACGTGATGTTTTCTCACCTACTATTTCTATAGCCCGATTTCACTGGAAACACCATCTCAACTCTTACTGTTATATATGAGTTTAAGGGAGTCGACTCCTGTTTCATATAATAACAGTTTCTCTTAATAATAAATGAATCATTGATTTAGAGAACAGTGATAACGAACTGTGCTTAGTATTGTGGATTACATTGGTTAATGTATTTCCATTTGATTATTGATTTGAATCAAGTTCAATGTTTCTATAGTTTACCACAGGTATCTCCCATCTGCCTTAAGCATATAGTAACTACTTTTTTTTAAAACAAATTCTGTAATGGATCTTCATAAGAATGTTGTATTTTACATTTTACATAATTTTTAACAAATACATTAAAGCTGATTTTTAAAGACACGTTTTTTTTCTAATTTTCGCCTGCTTGGGTTGATGTTATGTTAATAGTGCGTGAGAATGTGTGAGAGATGAAAAGAAAAGTTGTCGATAGGGTGGGTCGCGTGTGAGGGCGTTTGTTTGTGTTTACTGACGATTTTTTAAAAATTTAAAATAAAATGTATTGCTACAGTAACAATGCGTGTATTTGGAAGTGTAGAGCCTTCGTGTTTTATCTCTCTAAATACACTCTTTAATAAACTACTAAAGGAAAATGCTATCAGTATCTGAATCTCGGTCTCTCCATTTCCATCTCTCATTTCCACCGCTCTTTCTCTCCCTTCCTCTATTACTTTCCCAGTCTCTGTCTATCCCTCTTCCTCTGTCTACCTCACCCACTACTCCCTTTGCAATTTTACTCACTTATTTTATGATTGAGCTTAATATCATATAGGCCTACTTTTAATGCCTTTTCGTCTTTCGAATGAACAAAAATAACTTCTTCATTTTCTGCCTCGATTTCAGGGTAATGTAAATTTAACAACGTTTCCTAAATGGGGCGGCGTGGCCTAGCGTTAGAGCAGTAACATTCTAACTCAAAAGTCAGCAGAAAATTCCTGAGACAACCCAGATCTGAAGGGTACCTAACTTACATTAGACGGCTGGGCATAGTGCTGACCACACTATCCCTTCATATGCAGACGTCACAGAAACAGTTGAAATCTATTTCACTTGCCCCATGGGCCGCAAGTTTCGAAAGTGAACTACTGCGTTTCCCGTATAAGTCCTTTATAAGTGAGAAGCTTAATAAATTGAAAAGTACTTTCAATTTAAAGAGTGCAACAGATAGATTCAATCACTGCTGAGTTGTCAGTGTGGTATTAATTTATTATGTTAAAATATGCATCTGAAACAATGTGGATTATGTTCTATAGTCTTTTACTTTGACAAAGACAAATACTAACATCAAAATAATGCCGCCCTTTATTAGGGATTCCAGCGTAAATAAAAATCAGAAAAATTAAAACACTATACTTAAAAAATTGGGAACAAACGTTATGGCGCGAATCGAAAATACGGCTGGTTAGTGTATAATTTTGGATTTGGTTCAACTTATATCACAATAAAGTTCACATTTATTGTGTGAGATTGCATTGGGCTTGTATGTAAATATCGACAGATATTTTTTACTTTTTGTATACTTTCACGTTTAATAAAAAGCATGATATATTTCTCAAAATCAATAGAAAATTGAAAATAAAGCAAAATTAAACCTTACTTGATAAAAGGAAATTTACATAATAAACTAAATAGCGAAACACTCTAAAAAAATAAAACAAAATATAGCATACAACAAGTAAGTATGAAAAGTGTTATTACAAAAGCGCTCATAAATGAAATATAATAGTTAATTCTTGCTTCAATTTTTTTCAAATTAATGATGTTCACTACTGTTTATTTGCAATAATAATATGCTTCAAAATATAATAAACTAAAAATGTTGTAGTTGAATAATTTGAAATATATGACAGGAATGTGAATGTAATAATATATTACACTTTTGAGGCATTTCTGTAAAACCTGTACCTATATTCCAACATAATAGACTACTTGTTTGTAAAACAAATAACTGGGAAATATTTTTTTTTAAATATAGCACACAAGTAAGTATGAAAAGTGTTATTACAAAAGTGCTCATGAACAAAATATGAAAGGTATTTCTTGCTTTTTATTCTTTGCAATTAATTATGTTCGCTACCATTTATTTGTAATAATAATATGCTTCAAAATATAATAAACTAAGAATAATGTGGTTGAAAATGTTGAATTATGTAACAGTAATAAGAATCAAAATATGCACCATCACAAGTACTAATAATATAATACACTTTTTTCTGCCACAACTGTATAATTCAACATGTTAGACAACTTGTTTATAAAAAATTAACTGTTATTATAAAAAAAAAAACAATGTCCCTTCTTTAATAAGCTAGAGAAAAGTACAGACATTTATGTTGTAGAGACACATGTGCATAGACAAATATTCCCTTAAGCTAGTCTTAAAGACCGAGCAATAGAGATTCTAAATATTTTATTCTCAATGCCTGCTTGAAACTTTTAATGCCTAAATAATATCAATCGTGAATTTTAATTCGTTATACTAAATAATTTATATTTTGATCTTTTAAAATTAACTTAAACAAGAGTACATGAGGAACAGGATCTATACGTGGCATGACCATACTCGTGACGACAATAAAATACATGTTTCAAAGGCAAAATCAGATCACAAATCTTTAATCAAAATGTAAATGTATGCTGTAATTTTAAAGCTAAATTCTGCCATGGATCTTGTTGAAAATACTTATCAATTGCATTATTTTATGTTAATAATGTACATGGACAGTGAATAATCAGAGTATCAGTGTCCCCTCTCTGTGTAGAATAAGGCTAGTTCATGTAAGGCACTTAAACATTATACTACTGTATGCTTTTAACTAAATCCGCTTAAGATCGTTTTTGACTAGAAATAAAATTTGATGCAGTTTTTGTAAAAAATTATACCAGCATATTATTTGCACATAAACGCTAGAGTCTTGTCATTCGTACCAGAGAGCTGTTCGTGCCACCCTCATTTCGCTACAGCTGACCGTTAGTAAATTGCAGAAATACGCTGAAATCGTTCTAGAATATTCTAGATGATGAAATTTGTGTGCTGACAAAAATGGCGAAATCGGTTTTTAAGAGAAAAGGTAAATCCGTTTGTGTGCGTTGCGAATTTTCGCTTATATGTCTAGACTGTCTTTATGGCTGGTCGTCCATCAGAAGATTCGTATAATTATTTTTTTAGGGTTCCCACAAATCCATTCTAATTAACTATTAAATCACTAGCCGTCGGTACCCGTTACACGTGAATTTAGGCTTATACATTTAATGTTATACATAATTGAGAAACATATTTTACAAAATAGTGATTGGTCAAAAAGCACACACTTATAAAGAGACTTAAATTGGTCCGTTAAAAACCCGGCTATTCAATGGTATTTATGTTATTTTTTAAAGTAAGTTGTATTACTTTTGGCCGAGACAATTGTATACATTTCATAGCGTACATGCTGATAAGTAGATCTATAGATCTAACTCAAATTTGAATTAAATAGTTCATTTTTTCATATTCTAAAATATGAAGATGACGTCATTAGTTTTGTGTTCTTTGCGTAATTTAAACATGTGACATGTGACGTCATTGTTTTATTGCGTTCTTGTCAAAGTAATAAACACTTTTCCGGTTGCATAATTAAAATTGTATTTCTATACTTGAATATTGATTTATTTTTATTTTTCTTCTTTCAATAAAATTTAGTTTATACATTTAAAACATTTAACATATTATTTTTAAAAAGTCAGTATCAAGTTCTCCATATATTGCTGAAGATACTGATAGTTTCTGAAAATATTTTGTGGACAGAGAGAGATAAGTTGCACATGGTCTTTTATATATTAGGATATTTCGGTAAAACAATATAACCCGTGGCAATCAATGCATGTCAAGACTCAAGCAAATGGAAGTAGAATAAAAGAAATCCCTTACAACGTCAGTCTTTACCTACAGATAACATCGGAAACAAAAGAACAAATATAACGTTGAGGAAAATTTTAGAGGACAAATAAATCACACTATGAAAACAGACCCGATTATTTTATCTAAATCTACAGATACAAAAAAAACAATCAAAAAACACAGCTCTAAAGAGAACAAACCACACAGGTAGGCCTACTTAGTGAGAAGGACCTTCAAGAAGATATGATATCATTTTTAATTTGTATAATATATTTATTGATGGGATATGGCTATTTATAGTACAAAGGTAATTTAGTACCGCTTGGACTCACCATATGTACTATTTGGCCGCTTTTGGGGTTAATTAAAACCGTTTGTTAATTTTTTTCTCTAACTTATCTTCCCTTTCCATATTAAAATCTTGAAATCATGATACTATTTTTTTCGTTAAATTAAGTTTGCTGTAACGTTACAAAAACACCTTCTAACAGCGTTTTTTTTTTACTTTCTCGTATACGAAGTATAGTTGAAGTATTATAATTGTGCAAAAAAAAAATCGATATTTTTACAAATCTCGACGATTTACACCTCCTTTAGTCGGTAATACGTAGTTTTGCAACTTTGTCCGTATGTCTGTGTGTATATGTGTCTATGCATGTGTGTGTGTATGTGCGTCTGTGAACACGATAACTTGAGTACCGTTACAGCTAGGTTGATTAAATTTCATATATAAGTATTATATCAAATTTCATATAAGCGAAACTTATTCTACTTTCTATTTTTCAAAATTGCTGTTTCTGATAGATAAATGAAATTGCACATGTAAATAAAACATCTAATTCTCTGACTTCTTTCAAATTTTGAGTAATCTCTGTTGAACGGAAGTAGTAATTTACGTGATTTCCGATTTCGCAAAAAATGAATATAAATTCATAAAATATTCCGCACTATTATTCAGATATGTTTGGTACGCAATTCTTTTCTTTCCGAGATTATATAATATTTTTTAAAGTTTAAGTAATTAAAAATGGATTAAAAATTGTCTATATTCCGAGTTGCCATCCCCCGTAGTGTATAAGAATATTGGCGAAAGTTTAGGGGAAATCACTCTCGGTTTATTTAATTATTCTACTTATGGGGTACTAATTACCAATTTTCCACCTAAATTTGTCTTTATAACTATCAGTAATAGGTGTTTATCTATTGATAAAAAATAAAAATATACATTGAATAAAAAATAACCATGTTTTGTTCTTCTTTCACCGATTTACAGAACATATTTACACTAGGAATATTTTCTAAAAACTCTACTGACATGCTCCAAATCAATTTCAATCTTGCTGTACTCGATTGTTGTGTTCAGTGTTTCTAAAAATTTACCGTGTGTCGCTTGTTTGCCTTCACGGTGAATCCATTTTATCAGAAGGTTGGTAATTGTTCGCTTTTCATTTTTCCTGCAGGCTTTTAATTCTACATCAATTTCGTTTTTTGTAAAGCCAAGATGAAGAAACAGATCATCCCAGTCTTTTCCCAAAGCGCTAGCGTAACGACTTGCATCTGTTTCCGTTAAAACTGTACTCCAAAGTTTAAGGGATTTCATATTATTTTGTAGATCTGGGGATAGTTATATTTTTAGACAGTAAATAAATACATTCATAATATAAAAATTAGGGTTTAGATTATTATTAGTATTCATCTACACTTACCACTACTTGTGCGCCTTACGTGCATGTTAATGTACATACATACATGTATGTGTACATGTGCATAGTCATGTACATTTGAATGTACATAGACATGTACACAAACGCAAACGAGCATGCACATGCCCATGCATTGCACATACACGGTCATTGAGTATTTGTATATTTCTAAATATTACCTTCTGTTCCTCTAATCTTCTTAGCAAGAGGTTTGTAGCCAGCTAACTCCAATGCTTTTATGAAGTGATCACAGTGTGATTGTGGGTTGTTTGCCATTATTATTTGAAGCAGCTTTTCCGTTCTTTTTGTTTTTGTAGTTTCAGCTTCAATCTCTTTCATCTCCACTTCCGTGATGACGCGATCTCCAAGCAAGTAATGCACTACTCTTCTAGTATCTACTTCGTCTACTATGTCCTTGTAGTGCTTTAGTAATGTGTTGTCTTTGACGGAGTAGTTATATTCGTCGTAAACATTTTCTGTGTTAGTAAATTTCTTTTTTAATTTAAGGATTATTGATGTAGCTTAAATTTGTTACATGTTTAGTAGACGCTGTCATGAATAGTATCGAATATATCGAATGGTTTATAAAATATTTTTGTTTTAAATCATTTGCGATGTTATAAAAATAATATGGTTATAAATATTTTTATGAGGTTTTTAATGGACTTTACTATAGCTTTTTGGTGTTTTTACTTTTTTAGTAATCAAACAATACTATAAAATAAAAGTCCAAAAACAATTTTTTTATAATTTCATCACTGGAAATGGCTGAACTATGTCTTGTTTAAAAAATTAAAAATTTTATCTAGAAAATTTTATCGGCAAAACTTTATTACAAATTACTATGAAGTTCTTCATGAAGTGTGGTATTCAGTATATTAATCACTGAGTCCCTTTACATCAAATCATCGACTGTCTTACAAAAGTAAAACTTCAGGTAATATTTTAGGCTTGAGAAAAATAAATAAAAGGTAGCGTTAAACTAAAAAATGAACTTCAAATTCTTTTGAAATTGTATTACATTGATTCTAAAAAATATTAAATTTCTGAATTCTTGTTTAGCCTTAAGTATTTTTTATTTTTTACGACTGTTTAGTTGACAAAATCTAAAATTAACACATCAACATCAAGGTCAATAATAATGATGATGAAACCCGATTAGTCAACTCGCTTATGTCCATTGTCATTATTTTGTATGAATTAAATGGATGTTATGTTGATTGCGTAATAATACATATAATACTAGATAATAAATTTCTAATGGTGTTATTTTATCTAATCAGCCCTAAAAATGAAAAATAATGCGATATATTTCCTAAGCAATTGTTATTGTAATTTATCTAAGCATTGTTTTTTTGTTTTTTATTTTGTTAAGTGGCTTTCAGTCACAATTTAATTTACAACAATATTGCTCTTTTATTTTTTAAGGAAAATCATAAACATTATTTATTTTGTGCAAAATACACTATGAGAACAAAATACAATGTATTTTATCTACCTTCGGGTGTATCTGAATACTCATCACCACTAACATTCACAACATTTAGAAAATCTGGAAAGTGTAACGTGAAAGTTATATTCACAATACTAAAAACGATAACTACAATAATTATTTTATAACAATAATTTTTCTTAGAGCATTTACAACATATTTTAGTGGTTCTTTTATTATATCATTTAAAAAATAATGAATTATAATACCCAAATTTTATTTATAAACGATCAAATAATATTTTACGTAAAAGATTCAAACGCATACCTTGAAATTGTGGGTTAAAAAAGTCACTATTTAGAAAACTGTACCCTTTTTCAACAATATCTTCTGATGAGCTAGAATCACTTCCATTAAGTACAGTTCCGGTGATTAATGAAATATCAATTTCGTCTTGCTGACTTTCTATTAAAAATTTAAAAAAAACAAGATGACAAAATGAACCTATTAACCGAACAATATATGTTCTTAAGTTTTTAATTCTAAACATTATTGATGTTACCATAGTATTTATTGAGTTATTTTATTTTAAAATATAATTTAGGTTATACTTCCGAGTGTTAATAGTTTTTTCTTCAGTTCCCTGGCAGTTGGCCTATCCGTTGGCTCAATCTTACACGCGTAGAAAATCAGATCCTTTAATTTTTGTGGGAAAGTTTCTGGTAGAGTAATTTCTAGCTTTCTCTCCTTTGCTGCAATGGGGAATTTGTGTACTGCTAAACTTTGAAATGGGATTTTTCCAGTACCCATCTGATAAATAGTGCAGCCAAGGCTCCTGATATTGGAAGACAACAACATTTAATAAATCATTAAAAGTACTAGAAATTATTGTGTAACAGGTTTCGTTGCATTTTATCGACATAATCTTTTACAATGGAATACGAATCTTAAAACAATTTTTTTTAAATCAGTGAATATTTTTTGTCCATGTGTTTATTTTTTTATTTTATTTCGGATATACTTTCTGCCTTAAAAAAACAAATAAATAGATTATTAATCCTAAACCAAATTTTTTTCATAAATGCTAAAACAAATATTGTTTTAAAAAAATATTGTACCATATGTCAACCTCGTAACTGTGTTTTACTTCTTGAAACAATTCTGGTGCCATCCAGTTGTATGTGCCTTTAGGATCAGTTCCTGCAATTGAAAGTGTTTGAAACATCTCACTGTGTCCAAAGTCTGCTAGCTTTATGTTAAATTCATCCTCCATTAAGATATTCGAGCCTGAAAAAAATAAAATATAATGCTCTTATTAAAAAGGGAAACATATAAAACTATTTTTTTATATTCAGCGAAAATTGTTTATTTGAGAGACTTTAGGCAAAAAAATGTTTAGTTATTTTAAGTTGTCTCTATGTAGCTAGCCATCATTACCCGTTGCACATGAATTATAGGCCCTTTTTTTAATTGTATACTTGTTTGAAAAATATATTTTATAAAATAGTTATTGGTCAAAACTCAATGTACTTTACCACACGTTTAACTATATTAGTGACAAGGCAAAGAAATAACTAAATAGCTAAAAATCCGACGCATTCAAAATAACATTAATAAAAACCAAATTATATACATTATTAATTAACACAACACCATAGTAAATTCCCAAACTGATTAAGTGACTTAAATAATTCAGTTAAAAACTCAGCTATTCAATGATATTTTTGTTCTTCGAACTAATTTATTTATATTATTTTTGGCCGAGAAAATTGTATAAATTACATAGCATAAGGCTTGGTAAGTAGATCCATAGATTTAAACCAAATTTAAATTATTAAAATTGCCAATCGAAATAGTATATTTAAAGATTAAAACTCACTTTCGGTAGACATTGTAAGTGGGCTTGTCGAATATAAAACAATCCTAACACAGTGGGTGGATCTATCTAGATAAAAGGGCTAGCTCATTTATAGATAAAAAGACTATAAAAAAACCTACACAGCTAGGTAGCCGCTCGCTTTGTTAGCCTAAGGGAGAAAACATCAGCTATCCTTGGACCATACAACAATCATCTAAAGTCAGTAGTTATATTTCGGTCACACCTCTGAACAGGTTACACATATTTAATTAACGACCGCGTACATTGTGGAGCAAAGTTATTGGTAGTATGCATGCAAACTAAGCACCATTACTGATAATAACTCATCAAAGCCTCCTTCGTTACATCGCAGAGAGGTAACTTCACTTTTAAGAATCAGTTTTATTTTATTTGTTTTATGCATTTTCATGTCTTATACTTTAATATAAAAATATTATTTAAAAAATTACGTTTACTTAGGTTTGTCTTTTGATGCTTTTTTAATTAAGTTTAACTCATTATGCCTACAAAAAAAGTAAATACAATCCATAATATGACATTCAAATTTTTTTAAATGTTAAAATCGACTAAAATCATCGTAATTATTATAATTATTCTGTCAGATATTTTGTCTATGATATCATTTGTCCTGATAAATTTTGTCCTGGTATCTTTTGTCCGTGAGATCGTTTGTCCTGAAATCATGTGTCTTTAAGATCTCTTATCTGGGATATTTTGTCTGAGGTCATTAACTCTGAGATCGTTTGTCCTGTCGCCATATATATATAAATATATATATATATATATATATATATATATATATATATATATATATATATATATATATATATATATATATATATATATATATATATATATATATGATTTATATATATATATATATATATATATATATATATATATATATATGTATGGATACATAATCTATATATAAATGCCTTTTATATCTCTGTGAATTATCCTCATATCGTGTAAGTATATTAGCGCCTCCAGGATTTGATGTGTAAATGTCAAAGTCTTTTCCTCTGAGAGAAAACCACCTGGTTGGTTTTTAATGTAGGTTGCCAAAGATCCCTGTTGTATTAATAGCATATTTTAATTTAAGTAATTTTAAAATAAATTATATTAGAAATTAGCGTTAGTTAACGACTATTATAGAGTGATACATATTTGTTTACAAAAATTTTATAGATTGCAATGCTTTTATCTTAATGAGCTATGCTTATTTATGTCAATTATTTAAAAGCTAAACATGGAACTTTTCCCTTAAAAAACATTAAGTTAAAAATGCCATAGTATTGTTATTATTTTTGGATTTTCACTTTACTTTTACGACTTTAAAAGACAAAAGATGGTTATCAGTATAATTTCGATTCTTGGGTTAGTTGTATTTTAATACAGTACTATCATTCAATTTAAAGACACACAAGATGATCGTATAGAATAAATGACCTTCGTCACTTTGAATTCTTTATTTTCTGTAAATGTATAAAAACCTAGCAGCCAGTCTCTAAAATATAGGTGCTTCCGACACATTATTGATCAATACGCGTTGCATGTTGTCATTATATTTCGTACCTGAATTATTTCTATATTACTGCATCGGTATGTGTATAAATATTGTATTCTTTCTAACACAAAATGTTAGTATGGTATATTTAATTATTTACGTTTAAATTGACAACTAGATGTTCTCAAAGCCTATATATATATATATATATATATATATATATATATATATATATATATATATATATATATATATATATGCATATATATATATATATATATATATATATATATATATATATATATATATATATATACATTAATGACAGAAATAACAGTTTTTTTTTACTATCTCACCTTTAGCATGCATTCCATGAACAAAGATATTGTGTGGTCAGTCTTGCTGTATCCATACAATTTAATAATTCTATCGTGTCTCACTTTTTCTAATCCTTTTATTTCGTTCATCACACTCTTCTGTAAAACAGAAAAATGTTATGTAGTGGGTCACTGAAATGTGTTTACTTAAAATATCGTAGCTTTTTAAAATACCCACCCAGTGGTGAATCAATTGCGTAAAATAGCTATTAGTATATTTATTTTTATAATATAAAATAATGTAATATAATATATACTATTTTATAGTTTATATAATTATTAGTTTTTTATTTCTCTAATCAAGTTGGCCAACAATCAACTTGATTATTTTTTGGATGACCACAACATGTAGACAATATTATATCTATTTATATAGATTTTCTACTACTAAAACTCAAGTTTGTTTACATGTTTGAATTTTTTTTTGGTCCGATTGGCTACAGGAGAGAATCTGCACTATGTGTAGAGCTGTAAAATAGTAAGTGGGTAGAGAACAATTTTTTTTTTCAGACAGACTGTTAATCACAAATTTATTCAAAAAAGTTAATCAATGTATTGATTTATTCATTTGTAGATGAACCACATTAATTTTGAAAGTTCTAAACATTGACTTGACCTAGAGTGAATAGTGAAGTCACATGATTTATATACTTTTGAAAACAACACTTGCGGGTCCATCGAAGATTGTGTTGCCTATTCAGATATTTAACGGGTTCTAAAGCAAATTTTCTGTCCGATATAACTTTAACAATACGTCCGTTTGCCTTTTTTATTTGGTTTCAATAGTATTATCAATTTTTTAACAGTTATTTTTGTTTTAGTAGGCCTATACACTACATTTCTTAATATATAAAGATCAGCTGTCGAAGGAAGAAAAAAGTTATGAATCTAGTAGGGTTGCCAGGTGTCCAGTTTTGAACTGGACAGTCCAGTATTTGAGCAGACTGTCCAGGATAAAATAAATATAAATACTGGACAAGTATATGAATAATACTCTGTTACCCCCCTTCTTCTGCTTTGCGGCATACCTGAGAAGGGAAGGATGGAAAGGTGTCCAGTATTTTCGGAAAAGGTATCTGGCAACCCTAGAATCTAGCTAGATCTATTCTAGATCTATGTCACTAGAGACTAGACTTAACGTTAGTTCTAGATATAGACTTAATGTAAATTCTACATCTAGAATCTATGTCAGGCCTTAATTATTTTATATAAATCTTTGTTTAGCTTCAATGATCATCTAATTCAAGAATGCATGTGATTTGTGTGTCTATCTAGGTTCTAGGCAAAAACTAGAATTTAGACTTAACGTAAATTCTACATCTAGAACAAGAATATAGATCTATATATACTAAACTATTCTAGGCCTTAAATATTTTATATAAATCTTTGTTTGTTTAGCTATGGAATTGGCTAATTTGGGATATAGATCTAGGCCCCTAATTAAATTTAAAATAATAGGACATATTCGCGTAATTGGTTTCTTAATTTGCAGCACAATATAGGACTAATTTTACATTGGTTATTCAGTGCACCTATAGCTAAGATGATAGTGGGATGGCTAACATGCGGATGGTACGGGTTCTAGAACACATCACGACAAAGTATTTTTTTTTTCAATTTTTTTTTTAAACGGTCCTGATGAATTTAACTATCAGGACCTCGCGGGACACAGGGAAGGTGAAGTAGAGTTCACCTGTTTCTTTGTCTTCAGCATATTAAGGGATAGTGTGGTCAGAGACATGCTCGGCCGGAATCGTTTTTTTTTTAAACGATAAAACCATGTTGCCTGAGACTTGGTGGGACACTAGGCAGGTGAAGTAGAGTTTAGTAGGTCACCTGTGACGTCAGTATATGAAGGGATAGTGTGGTCAGACCCATGCTCAGCGGAATTTATTTTTTTTCAAAAGATAAAAAAACGCCTTTTTGAATGTGGGTTCTGGTTATTTTGTGATGATAAGTGACAGACCTGATGTCATTTATGGATGACCCCCGAAATCCACAGTTATTTAATTAGATAACGGGTAGTCTAGTAATACATAAAAACATTAATTTTTAAACTAATCTTACCACGTGTAATGTTGAATAATTTCCATAGACCAAAGAATCCTTAAGACATTACCCACATTCAAAAACGATGACACAGATAATAACACTATACACATTTTATGGTAGGTTGGTATCTATCTGGTCACTTCTTTATTACTTTTCTTAAAGTGCGTACTATCTTGGTTCATTGAGAATCAGTAGCGTACGCAAGTAACCTTTGCTTGGTTTATCAGGCTCAATTCAGCCCTACCTCTTTTATACGGTAGGTCTATTAACTTCGGGTTTTAAGACCTGTCTAGAAACGTTAGATAATCCTTTACGTAAAGTGTGCCTCGCATAATTTGATATTTCAATGCTAGCAGAAAGAGATACTGCATGTCTCTTGCCTATCGGCTGATCTATAACATTTTCCAAAGGCATCTTGTACAGATTCTCTTATTTTTAGGTGGATTGTGTTAAAAACTCTATGTAAATAAATGACGGGGGAGGGAAAGCTGAATAAATGTACAGAAAAATAAGCACATTCTCACACAACTTCAAGACCGTTAGTATGAGTAAAGACGGCCAGTACGTACATATGTCCTTATCGAGCCAATGCTTAAATACTTCGGAAAATTTAGTTAAAACAATATAAAAACACCGCGGATAAGAGTAAAACTGACAAGAAAAGATGAATAAGCAAACTTCAAATAAAAATTAACTATATTTTAATTTATAATCAGAATTATAGCTTTTGAAACAGGTAAAACGGTGAATATTGTTTTTGCAATTACCAGTAAAGAGGTGTGTGAGCAATACAATCATCTAACCCATATCTTACCATTATGTTAAGAAATAATCTTAAAAGAACACAAAAAGCAGTAGATAATTCAAAAATGTAAAGATCAAAAAGTTTAACCCAATCCAGTCCTATTCAGAACCGTGACGACATTTAGAAAACTTTTACACAATTATTAATAAAGATAATAATTATTTGGTTATTAGTGTATGCAGTTTATAAACTAAAAGAAGGTTGAATTAAATACATCTTTGTTTTATTTAACACACAACATTTTATTACTACTATGCATATTCTATTATTTTTTCCTAATATGAAAACATACCAAATAGAAATACTAGACATTTTTTAAAGTAATTTTAATTTTTGTGAGTTATCAGTCTTGAAGAAAAATATTTAATTTGTACGATTTTTGTCATGAAAAATTATAACTTTTGTGATAAATTATAAGTTGATCTACTATAAACATATTGTTATTTGTACATCAAATTAATTTAAACGTTTAGTTGAAAAATTACCTATTATTTAAGCATTGATTAATCTAGAAAATTTGTAATCATATATTTAAATATATGTATAAGAATCAAAACCTTATGAATATAGCACAAATGATCAAGTGGAGATTTTTACTATAAGCATTTCCGCTTGCCACACAGTCCTTTCATCTTTATTATATAGTTTGTGTCAACCATACTTGAAATTAAGGTTTAAATAAAATTGAATCACTGATCCTCTTGAATTATGCAACTCTGTTTCGAAACGGTATAGCTTCTATAAGATATATTTTGTAGTGAAACTCTCACTGTAGAACTAATAGATATACTCCAGTCGTAATAATGTTATTCGTAGATTCTATTTCACACAAAGCCAACTCTAACAATCAAACACTGAGCTCGCCATCACAACTCTACCCCCCCCCCTTTGTATGCTGTGTTAGTTAGTTGTTATCAATTTATGGGGGACGCTTATGTATGTGTAAAGGAGATGTGATACGTGTGCAGAGGGAAGGTGGTTAAATTTTGTTTTTTATATGTAAACGTCATAAATGTATGATCTTGATAGTTTAGAGGCCCTTAAGTCCAAAATGCAATTGTGTGTTAACCACACTTGCCTGTTGTTAATAAATGGAAGTTTGGAGCTTAGTAATCTGGGTATTATGTTATATCTGCTATAGTGATTTTAGTAGCCCCACAAAATATTAGATCATGGTATATAGCCCAATTTACTGTCTCGCAGTAGCAAATAACAATCCGGAAATGAGCTAGTACTACTAGTTATACGGATTGAAGCTTGACTCAAGTTTTCTCTTGCTTCTGTGCATTCCTTATTGCCATTTTAGTTCTTTTACGTGAAAATGTATTAAGGTTGAAAATATCGCAAATATAAATTACGATTATTATAATACAAGTGATTTAATTTAAAACCATAATTAAATTAGGTAACAGCTTACCACCAACTCCGTAGGCGTATCATCAGAAATACTGAACTGTTTGGCTGCATATTTTGTCTCGCCCACTTGATAAACAGTTGTTCCATTACCACGACCAAGACATTTTCCTTTTCTCCAGTTAGACGACCTGTCCTCGCCATCTATGAGAATTAAAATCTTGAACTACCCTTATTTTTAAAACAAAATTGCTTCATTTATTAATGTGTAGGATCATACAACAATTTGGTTTAAATAATTTCTAACAAATGTTAACACTATTCTCATTTACCTCCATAAAATGGTCCAGAATGTTTCATGCTTTATAATACTCCGTTTCATAACAATTAATTTAAGTAATTTACTGTGACATATATTCGAAATCAGACATACAAAATCCGTGTATGTGCTACAATTTGTTAGTCTCCCAAAACCTACTCTAGTTTTGAGATCAAAGAATTTAGGAAATTCCCGATTGTTTCGTCAGATTGCGTGATAAGTAGGAGTAAACTTTTTTTATGTTGGTTAAAATAAACAATTAACAATTTAGTAAATAAAATCTATAAAACAAGAGTTTATTCATTCACATTGGTGTATGAAATATTTTAGACTTAGTTCTGCATTGCAATAAATTAAAAGTACATTTCATGACCAGATTTTTAAAACATACGTATTTTTTAAATATTAAATTTCAAACCTTCAATATAAGAATATTTCTTACAATAATATTTAATCTAAAATTATTGTCAAATGTCTGACACATTAAATTCCGTGCACAGTGTTTCAGAACATTTAATTAAAACTCTAGATTGTCGTTTATTCGAATCGCATGACAAATAAAAAGGGAAATTCAAATTCTGACTTAAAACATTTTCAGGAAATAAAATATATTACATATTTAATGGTAATTACGTTACGTTTAATATACTAACTATGTTTATAATTATAGGCATATTGTATACGTTAATATAGACTACCACTATTCAAAGTTGTTATATACACTACTATCGTAACCGTGACACGTCGTTGCGATGTAGTATTACACACCAAAGAGACTAAATATCAACGCGTTACAAATCATGTATTCTTGGTAATGATTAAACTTACTTTTTAAAGATTAACAGCGGCGGCCCAATAGTGAATCTTAGGTGTTGGGAGGCGGGTTTTTCCACACAGCCAAGACTCCCCTGTGTGCGCTGTATAAACGCCGTGGTGTTGCAAGCTTGAGTATCACCCCATATACCACTGGATTCTCCCCCCCCCCCATCCACACGGAGACAAATATGTATATCTATTTATATATTGCTGCGTTATCACTTGGTGCCTTCTCCCACTCTTCCGGTTGATAACTTTAAACTGTGCAAAGATATTAGTAACATTGTTCCTCTTTAGTCGGATGTAGCATGGTGTTCTCTTTAATTAGCTAGTTTACGTCATGATGCGCCCCCACCCCCAAAAACACACACTACTATTTAACTGTAATCATTAATTAAACTTTCTTCTATATATTTTACACTTTATTGCCTTGGTTGCAACCCCGCCAGCCACCGAATGGTGTCAACCACCTCCCCACTCCCCTAACACACCCCAGGTACGACGAGAAACGCTCTCGAAAGGCATAGGTTCCATTACTGCAGAGGCGCCGGGTTCCTCCCCTGGTTTGGTTAAGTCACTGAACTTGGGAAAGTAGGCCTCCTTTAAAAATAACACACAATTTATATATAAATACATGTATATATATATATATATATATATATATATATACATATATATATATATATACATATATATATATATATATATACATATATATATATATACACATATATATATATATATATATATATATATATATATATATATATATATATATATATATATATAAAGCAATGTATGTGTGTGTGTGTTTTTGTTTGTTTGTCTGTCTTTTATGCATATACCTTTCATCCGATCTCAATGAAACTTTGGTGAGTTGATAAGAACAGTCCAGGGAAGGGTTCTACAATATTCATATTATTATTAGGAAACTAAATTTTGAGACATGATCATGTTGTTAAATGTAAACTAGATAAATCGCCCGTTGATATAGAAATACAACGATAGACGTTCTTCAACCGGGGGGGGGGGGTCTCTGCTACCCTACCCAAAGAGATGCTTGAAAGAAACTCTACATGCAGAATACTTTTTTAAATTACACAAATAAATTTGGCGGTAGTGTCATTGTCTGTTTTTGAGTATCGATGACGTGACTTTTAATGTTCTTTTTCTTTTTCGTGTATCTTTGTAAAGTTTCGTTTTGTTTGACTGTGAAAGTTTGTTTTCATTTAGTTTCCTCTATAGCTTTCCGGACAGACAATCATACAGACAGACAGAATAGCGAAACTATTAGAGTTATATTATGAAACAACTATCAGATCTTGAGACTTATAAATAAATTAGAACAATTTACTCTCCGATAAAACTTTAATTAAGTTGGAAAGTGTTGCCAATGTTAAATCTAAATTTGCATATCAGATACTGGGTGGAATTGGCATACACATAATTCATTTATCATAGTTTTTTAGAAAAACGTTTCCAGGCGCTCCCAGTCAATATGTGCATTATTATTTTTTTCAGATTCTCGAAATATTTTAATTAAATTGTTGAATGTTGCGTTTCTCCCACTCCGTTGCTTCCATTTAATTAATGTGTTGCTAATGGTTCTTTGTGCGTTGGATCCATTGGATTGAAATTCTTGGTCTATTTGAGCTTTTCTGAAACCTAAGTTGTACAAGACACTTTCCCAGTTGTTGCCAAGAATGGTTGCTAGGCGACTGGCGTCAATCTCAGATAGGATTTTATTTTTTGTAGAATCTGGAAGCTCATCAAACCAAGGAGCTTAAAATAAACAATAATTAGAAAACATATGTTTTTACTGTATGTCAAAAAATAAGGTTAAAAATGAAAATAATTATATTTTTTTTTCCTCATTGAACTAAAAAAAAATTATTTGTTTCAAATTAATAATACGTTACTTTCATTTTAAGATTAAATCCAATACTTTTAAAATTGTTCCATTTGCGAGTTTTTAAACACCAGAAAGCTGTTATTTCTAAATGAATTTTTTAGTAACTCTAAAATTAGAATTAAGTTTCTTTATAAAATTATCCAAATATAATTTTACAACCATCATCTCTCACTTACCTGGAAGTATTTCAAGCTGAGGCTTTTGATCTGTGTTTACTATAGAGTCGAAGATATCTGTGTATCCAACTTGATGTAAACTTTCAACAAATTTTGCACAATCCGACTCCTTTTTACGCATCAATATTCCAAGAAGCTGTATGGCACTATCCCTTCTTGCTTTTGGTCCTAGCTCTTCCATTTCATCAAATGTTATCACATCTTTTTCAAACAACTGAGGTAAAACATCTTTTGGGTTCAGCTCTGCTACTAATAGAGTATAGTTAGCCTTCAGTTTTGCTTTGATGTCAATGATCTTCGAGATCTGAACACTATCAAATTCATCTGGAAGTATACAAGACCGTATTATGTCATATGAATTAATGAGGTAAAATCTAAAGAATATTCAACTTATTGCTTTACAATTTTTGTTTTTATTTTATTGTATGTGCTCTTTTTCAGATAACATATTTAAAAAACTAATCCACATATGGCATTGTCTCATTTACATTTGTAAGCCAATACTGATAATAAACAATACTAATTCATTAATTACATTTTTATATTGTATTTAATATATTCTATTCATACTTAAATATAAATACCTAAATGTCAAATACATTCACTTTTTAAGAACTAATAAAAGAAATACTTCATATTTTCAAATCTTTATTCCTTAGTTAAAAATGTCATTGTTTTTGTAATGAACAACAAAGTATAAGGGTCAATATATTTATGTAGAAGCTACTTCAAAAATGTCGCGTAATAACAATATTGCTAAAAATTTATAATTACATTTTTGTTTAATGGATTTGAAAACATGTTTATCTTTTTTTTAATTAGAACGACATGTCATTAGTGCTCGTTGAAGGTTTACTATCTATCCATAATATATTCTTAAACCATATACTACTTAGGAAACACAATCTCAAACACGGAAGGTTTACATTTTATGTATATTTGATTTTAATTAATACATACATCAGCATGAAGTGGGAAGATATAAGTAAAAAATGAATTAAATTAATCAGTTTAAATCAGTATGTAAAACTAAAAATTTTATGGAAATCTCGTCTTCCAAAATTATTTTGTGAGTGTGCATATTACTAAACGGTTGTCAAAATTATTTCAGCAAGGTGTGGGTATGTTTTTTGTAGTGAAGCAATAAAAACATCAAAGGCAGCCCTTCGCCCAGCTCATAATTGAAGAGTTTTTTTCGCCTTAACTATATCCATGTCTTCTTTAAAGATTATGTCATGTTGATACATGAAGGGAAGGATTTGTTTAGCGTCCAGTTCATCCAGTAGAAGAGTCAAGTTTTTCTGTATCTTTTTTTCATGGACTGGGTTAAGTTTACATGCAATAGGGGCGTCTTGTCTATATTCAGCAATCTTTAAATTAGAATTCTAAACTATCCATTTTTTCTAAATTGTTCGAATTGTGCTGTGATCATATGGGTCGGCAATGAACTGAATTTTAAATTTAACTTGATAAATGAAACGTTAGTTTTATAGCTTCCAATTTCAGAACAACATTTCAAGCAACTGGTATTTTATCATTTTCCAATGAAAGGCGTGAAATTTTCAACAAAGATACATATTTTAAACTTATTTACCGTGATGAAAATTATTTTGCTGAGCTGAAACGACGGGATCCTTTCTTGTACCGTCCACTTGAGCACTTGAATTAAAACTGCCAGCTTCCAAAAAAGACAATATAAAAAAGCATAACTAAAATTTCAGTATTAGCTAAACAATGAAGTTAAATAACAACAACTTGTTTTTTATTATATTCTGATGTGATTTAATAACATTGAAATATGAACCTTGTGATTGATAACCAATGCCAGACTCTGCTTCACTTGACAAGCTTGTACGATCTACTACATCAAAATTAACTGAAAAAAACACCACATTTGAATAAAAATGATAATTATAGTCTTATCTACATGGTCATTATGTTTACTGTCTGCACTGGTATCGAGCATAAATAAATGTTATTTTCTTAAATATGAACGTATTTAAAAATGCAAAATAGTTTAACATACTCTAAGTAATAAGTTTTCCTATTTTCTATAGTTAGAATAGAATAAGTTACCATCTTCTTGGTCAAATGGTATTTGTATATCTGCTTTCATCACTGATGTTTCTTCCGTGTTTTCTGTTGGACAAATGATAAATTACTTTAATGTGGTTTGTATTTAGGCTATTTCTTCCATAAATTCTTACAAACAGATACACATCAATAGTATACTTTTTTACTTACCTGTTTGGTATCAAGTATATAACTAAAACTTAACTGCATATTATATATATATATATATATATATATATATATATATATATATATATATATATACACCATAACCATTAATATATTCCTATTTTAATTTTCACCTGTAAAAAAGAAATGCAGTAATTAAAATTAGATCTATATGTGACTTAGATATCTTAGATATCTAGTGCAGAGGGTGCGAAAAGAAATGTGGCACATATTTGTCCCGCTTAAATAGTCTGTTTTTGAGGAAAAATAGAAGACAGAAAAACAAAAAAAGCAACACTACACGCTATTTTATTACTTTTATTTTAAATAGGTTAGTGACTTTCAATTATATTGCAACACGAGCAATTTTGCACCGTCTCAAACAAGATATGTTAAAGTTATATTAATGAAATCTATTTTTAGAATCATCGTCTGGTGTGGTGACCAAAAAAATTAAACTGAAACAACTACAATTTGTAACCATAATGAAACCAATCAAAATGTATTTAATGTTTGTGTATACCTCCTGCTGAATTTCTGTCATATGATCCTGAACTAGCCATATTTCAAACATAAATATATTTTAAATCACCAGATAGCTTGTTTGAGAGGTCCTGTTGTAGTTTCATTAAACTCTCCCCCTTTAAAGTTTAACAGGACGAACAACCTTTGTTAGAGAAACAAAATAGGTAAACCCCGTTATTATTTGGTTAACGTTTTGAACAAAAAATTGTAATGACGAGTGTAAGTGTAACTGCAATTGTACACGTGTGCCTTACACATTATATAATGTATACAATTTTTTTATAAATTAAAATTACAAGATCTAAATGCGGATATAAAAAATAAATATACAAAGAAATGGGAATTCCCATTTTAATCTCCCTTCAGTATATATAGGGTTTATAATTAGGTATATGCTGTGTTAGAATATCATACCTCATCCGGAAATATTTTAAAATATGAAACAAAATATCTCAGATTCATTATTTCAATTAAATTATCTTCAGAAAATAAAATTTTAAGGAATATATATTAGTATGTTTAAGAGATATTTTGTTAAAATAGTACTCTTATAAAGTAATTGGATATTTTGGTTCTTTTCTTTGTGTATCTACGTTTTTAATACGTCGATTGAATTCCAGTTGGTAGCATTTATATAATATCGACGAAAATGTAGACAAAAAATGGGAGCCGGACTTTTTCCCGAAAGACACTTGCCTGAATGCCGTTTGCCCGAAGGCCGATTTCCTGAATGGACACTTGCTCAAATGTGACAAATGTCCGAATGGACACTTGCCCGAATGGGACAAATGCCCCAATGGAGACTTGTCCGAATGCGACAAATGCCCGAATGGACAAATGCCCGAATGCAACTGGCCCGAAGGCCGTTTGCCCGAAAAAAATGTAAATATTAAATAAAAAATTGTATTACCAAATTAATTAGACATTCTCAGTTAATTCAAGTTTGATAATCATCACAGTTCTAAGCATAAAAACAAATTTGTTTATATTTTTTTAAATTAAGCTTTTATCTTTTTAAATATGAGAAAATTGTGTAAAATAAAACTGCTCTATTCTTTAATAAATCATATGTAAGGTGACGTTGGTGGCGGTGTCTTAACATTCTTTTGATGTAAGTTTTGAACACCTTGTTTAGCCGACGTGATGCAGTCGTTAGATAGCGTTTATGACGCAGTGTAGGCGCGGCGTCTCGCAACATTGATCAGAGGCGCGTTTGTTTGATTTATCTTATTGTGCTTAACTTGTATGGTGATCATTTAACAAAAGAATGAGGCGAGGTCTAGGCGAATTTAAAAACTGAAGGAATTCTGTTAAGTTTGATCTCCATTTAATGCACCTTGTTTAGACAATGTGTTGAAGCGATTACTAATAAAGAAAGTGCGATTCATTTTAAAAAAAATCTGATAAACTTTTGTCTAATTCCATAGATAGAAAAGGAAATATGTTTATACACTTTTTATATAGCAACTATAAATTATTAAGAATTTCTGCGAGGATATATATAATATGAATTATTTTCCCTTTATTTTTTGTTTAGATATGTATAGTTTATCAAAATTTCAAATTTAAATTGATTACAAATGATTGTTTGGTAATATATAATGTTAAAATTTTTCGGGCAAACGGCCTTCGGGCATTTGTCGCATTCGGGCATTTGTCGCATTCGGGCAAGTGTCCATTCGACCATTCATCGAATTCGGGCAAGTGTCCATTCGGGCATTTGTCGTATCCGGGCAAGTGTCCATTCGGGCATTTGTCGTATCCGGGCAAGTGTCCATTCGGGCATTTGTCGTATCCGGGCAAGTGTCCATTCGGGCATTTGTCGTATCCGGGCAAGTGTCCATTCGGGCATTTGTCGCATTCTGGCAAGTGTCCATTCGGGAAATCGCCCTTGGCCAAATGGCATTCGGGCAAGAGTCTTTCGGAAATTTGTCGTAGACCCATATGACTTACACATAACTTACAACATTCCGTACTGGGCTATTGAAAAAAAAAAGTAGAAAGTAACTGCATAAGTAATACTTTGTCAAAATTAGATTTGCAATCAATAAATGCTCTGCGTGTAATTGAAATGTAAAAGGGTGTAAGTGTAAAAAAAATTTAAAACGGGGACAGGAAACGTATGGGACTCGGGGTGAACTACTCGAGTTAAAAAAAAAACTAGTTACCTCTCTCTTTGACAGTACAACGAGTATAAGCTTTAGAGATGAGATGTCCATTCATTTATTTAAAAAAAGTTTTGACAAAACAGGTAGATGCGACATACAACTATACTGCATATTAAATAGTGGCAATACTAAATGATTAATTAATATTTAGGTATTCAATAGTGAAAGATGGTGTAAAAAAGTAATTAATGTAGGCTTATAAGTCTACCTCCTTGCAACATCCAATCATATTCTCCTTGGTCATCCATTCGAGTGTCACAAGAGCCTTACTTTTGAACCTTCATTTTATACAAAATTTTTAGTTTTTAAATACATTTTAACAAAGCTCTTAGTATTTCACCAAAGTCATCAGACGGAAGCGTGAGCCAACCAAAATTGATGGATTAGGTTATGGGAGAAAAAAAAGAAGAAAAAAAACACTACTTAATTAATAAGCCTATTTTATTTATTAATTTTAATGGTATTTCGCCATACCAAATTTTGATAACACGAAAAAAAAATCGCTAAAATGTAATTAGCGTGTGTGTAAGGCATAAAGATTTTAAAACATGAACGTCATGTGTACACATTGATTCTTTTTCATCCATTCACACTCGATTTTATAACAAGTAAGCTTAACACTTCCTTTATTTTAAAATAAGATCGGTAATTCCCGTTATGTTCTAACACATTAAGTTTTTAAGGGCCCCAACATGCTTTGTAGGGGAGGTCACCGCCGGTGTTTCTACGCCCCACCCCTCCGATCCCCAGCCGATCTAAATACGATCTCCGAAAGTCTCAAGTACCCCCCCACCCCTAAATCGTCAAAATAAACACTGGAGGCCACGCACCCTAATTACACTATAGTCAGAGGCGTAGCGAGGGGGGGGGGCGGGGGGTGCGGTCCGCACCGGGTGACACCATTTAGGGGGGGGGGGGGGTGACACCAAGGCAAAAAATAGCAAAATATATAGAGAAAAACTTGAGGGGCGATGCAAATCGAAAGTTTGAGGGGGGTGCAAATCGAAAGTTTAAGGGGGAGGGTGCAAATCGAAAGTTTGAAAGTTTGTACCCGGAAGGGTCGCTACTCCTCTGGGGGTGACACCATTAAGTGCCTCACAGGGTGACACCCGACCTCGCTACGCCACTGACTATAGTATAGGGGAGTCTAATTTAAAAATAAAAATTATCTAAACATGCAAATTACCATTAGAATTTATAGTTATAGTGATATTAGTTGGAAATGTGTGACGTCATTGAAAGGAGAAAAATGTTCATGTAGGCTATTTGATATTTCCATGATTATGGTTGGGGGGGGGGCGGTGTACAAGTCAACTCTAATAGTATTATGTCATTTCCTGGTCACTCCTAACCAATTTATTCAACAATTGATGTAGGAGTAAATTACTTGTGTGATCCAATGTATCACATACATAATTGTGTATGAAGTTACCCCAAAAGCTTGATGGAAACTGGTTTCATTTTTCAAACCCAAACACGTCTTGAAAGTTCTTGATCCTGAGCCATACTTTCTTTTCTGTTTTCAGGTGTAGCCTATTGCTATCAGCCTGGGGTTATTCTAAGTCAGTTGGCGGGTTGGGGAGGGGGGGGGGGTTTGTTGTTGGTGATCTTTATACCCTGTTCCCCACCCATATCTTCACTTCCTTACTGGACTTTGGCCAAAGGTTGGCACTACTGAGGTGTATGTAACTGAAGGCTTCCTAACTGTATAGTAAATTGCCATGTCTGAAAACTCTTAAGTTAACTAACTGTAATTATGTAAAAACTATTGATTATGTAAAGAATTTGCTGTGTCATGTTTTCATAAGACACAATGTGGCATTACTGACACAAATTATTATTACTTATTACAAATATGTAACAGTCCATGTTACTTGATTACATTAATTAATGCCATGTTTAATGAAAGCTTATATAAAATTATACAACACAAACATAAGACTTTGTTATCCAACCCAATCGATCATACACAACACAAAGAAACCATGATTAAACATACTTTTAATTTTTGTTATGATCATATTTTATAAATAGCTGTTACTGTTAACTAAATAATAGTACATAACATAGTTCTAAATTTAATTTCCATTCTTTTAGTCTAGGTACTGAGACTTAAATAAGTTTTCCTTGGACAAAACATTTGTTTTGTTTAGAAGGTTAGCACAAACCTAGCTCTAACAGCTATGTTGAATATGATTCAATATTAGTAGGCGGCTCCCGGTCAAAAACCCCCTGGACATAAACCCCCTGGACATAAACCCCCCGACATAAACCCCCTGGACAAAAACCCCCCGCGACAAAAACCCCCTGGACAAAAACCCCCCGCGACATAAACCCCCTGGAGCAAAACCCCCCGCGACATAAACCCCCTGGAGCAAAAACCCCCGCGACATAAACCCCCCGGATAATAACCCCCGGGCTGAGGTTTATATAAAGAAATAATAACGATGATGTGAACCAAAAAATTAAAAAAAAAATACATTATAAAATATACATCATTAAAAATACATTAAATGAATTTAATTTTTTACGACTAAGAAAATAGTTTCTACCTAAAAATAATGCTATTCGAAATCAACGAGTGACCTTAGTTGTATTTGATCAAAGATCGGGCACAAAGGACAACCTTAGGTTTTTGGATGATAATCAGCACTGGTTTTTGGATGGTACAAATACAGGACTCTGGCATTCAACAACTCTACCAAGTTGATAGTGAATTTGCTCTCATGCTCAGAATGCTACCTGCGTTGGTTTTTGTTCCCATTGAACACATAAGTTATGCCTTTGAAAAATTATTGGAAATTTTCCCCCAAGAAGCAATGCCAATTGCAGACTACTTTGAGGACTACTATATTGGCAGACCACAACGTCGAGGTCGGAGACAGCCTATGTTTCTACTTGATATGTGGAACATGCACACACGTGCAGAAGACCATATGCCAAAAATAACCAACTCAGTTGAAGGCTGGCACAGAAGTTTCCAGTCGAATATGGGATGCTGTCTCCCCAATATTTGGAAATTTATTGACTTTATTAAAAAGGAACAGATTAATTCAGGTCACTGTTTACTAAAACAGAAAAAAAATATTGATAGCAGCTCTCGAATTTTAACTGTTGTTAAAAATTTTAATGAGTCCACCATTATTGAGTAGGCTATTTGCGAGGCATCGCTCACAATCTGTCTTTTTAAAGTTATAATAAAAATAAAACAGTTTTTTTGTAATGTTTTTTTTTATTCATATATTAATTTTGGTTCTCATCATCATTGGTTTTTCCTTATATAAACCTCAATTGGGGGGTTTTTGTCCAGGGGGTTTATATCGCGGGGGGTTTTTGTCCAGGGGGTTTATATCACGGGGGGTTTTTGTCCAAGGGGTTCATGTCGCGGGGGGTTTATGTCCAGGGGGTTTATGTTGGGGGGTTTTTGTCCAGGGGGTTTTTGTCCAGGGGGTTTTTGACCGGACACCTTAGTAGGCCTATCCATCAGATGAAATAACTGTTAAAGAACAGGTTTTAAGAAATAACTTAACTAAATGTAAAAATATTAAAGTTTTATATTATTTTTTTACACTGAAGATGTTTAAAAAAACTTCTGATGTTTTGTAAGGATTTAACACAATAGGACAGAGAAAATACATTCTATTAACTTGGGGAAAAAATTATTAAAACATTAACTTATTACAGTCAACTGTTGGCTATTAATAGCAAGCACATAGCACTCATTTAATTTTTTGTACAGGTTATGTTAAGCATTCATACTTATACTCTGTATAAAATAAGGTACATAAATGATAGTTAAAACATAAAGTTTCTAATGCAAAGCTGAACATAAAAACAAAAATTATTAAGTATATGCAAATAAGCATACTTGATATTTTTAATTATCACATATCTAAATCATTCATGTAACCTAACAATTTTGGTAAACTAAATTAAAAGCAATAAGTAGCAACTAAATTTGTTGCAGCTTTGTATCAAAAAGAGAAAAAAGAGCTATTTATGTTAGGCGCATGAAAACTGAAAATATTTGCTATGGTGATACTCAACAAAGTCATACATGCATTATTTTATCAGACAATAAATTATACCCAACGCAATTCAAAATTATAGGATATGATAAAAAAAATGAATGTAATTGAATACAGATGTTTAGAAAGCTTAACGTTTAAGCAATAAGTCTACTCAAACTAATTCTAACTTCAATAATTTCTAATATATAATAGGGTAATCATCAAAACAGTTAAAACATTGTGTTATTTAAAATAGTTTCTGGTCACACATTAAAATTCACACACTCCCTCCTTATCAGAAGAGCATTAGCTATGTTTACTCAAAGCTTCATCAAACACATCCCAGTCTATTGAAACAGAATGGAGCTCCTCCGCATCTTTGAACACTTTCCTAAGGTTTTCAAATGTGGCATCTTTTCCTACTCTCTGCCGCCATTTTATCAACAAGCCTGGGATTGCCCTGTTCACATTGTGGCCATTGTTCTCCAACTCCAGCTCAATTTGAGCTTTCTTGAAGCCAAGTATCAGCATCACACTTTCCCAGTTACTTCCAAATACACCTACCAGTCTACTGATATCAGCGTTTGTTAACAGACCAGACATGATGTTAAAGTGAAGTGTGTAGATTAATATCGAATCTTCAATGTATATATTATGTCAGGGTGTTTCACTGTAAACAAATGACAGAAAAGTCCATACATGAAGATGAAGGAGAATGTATCTGTTTTAATAAGGTCTGCAGTTATCACCTTGCACAGCCACTTTATTTTTTCCTGTCAGGTGTAAGTGATGTTAGGAGAGTCGACTCAATGGAACAAAACTGGTGAAAAAACAAAATTGAGTCGAGTTAAATACAAGTAAAATATAATATATTTAGGTTTATTATATATACTATGCTAAAATATTTATTTAAATATTGAAAGGCTAACCAAAATACTATTAATATTGGGTCTATACTTAATCACAAATAGCTTATTTAAATTACATAAGAAAATTAAGTCAGCTTCCTTATTAAAAACCTTATAGAAATTTTACAAAAAGAGAGTTACCTGCCCTTTCTTAAGATTAATCCTATTGTTTTCTCCCCTTTTAATATTGCATTTTGTAATCTTTAAATTTATTTTAATGACTAATTCATTATCTAATTTAATTCAAAATTATTCCGTTGTATTCAGGGACTAATATTTATATATGTGTAAAGATTATAGGAAATCACAATACCAATAGAATATAGTCAAAATTGAATAACAAGATTTACAACACACCTACAGACAAACTAACAGACATTTTAAAATAAATTCTACTATCTACTTCTATAGTAATAATACTCATAGAGTATTATTTGCATTACTATAATTACTGATCAGTCTCTATTAATTTAATATTTATATTAGGGTGAGCCGCGTGAGCCTTTAAATATTTTTATCAATAAGTAATATTTAGTAATCAAGTTTTATTAGTCTTAGTCACTCATTAGTGTTTAAGAAGATAACCATAATTATTAATTAATTAAATTAATTATTACATAATCACATTATTCATAAATTATTATTAACGAGCCGACCCGCTGCGTATCATACGCCGCTATTTAGTTGTTTTTTTTTCTACTTTTCACTAATTTATAATTTGTGAATTCGACAGTACCAATGCTGCCATTGAAAATATTTGCTTAAAAACACTACCCCCCCCCCCACGTGAAAGCAGCCTCCTCTTAGTTACCTCCTCTAAGTTTAAAATCGTTTCAAACTAAATTATATGCCCCTAATAGGCTAATAGCCGTCACCAAACCCGTCTCTGTGATTGTAAAATGTAAACAGAGTGAACACCGCTCACCAGATCATGTGGGGGTGGGGTGGGGGCGGTAGTGATAGTGATAGAGAGAAAGAGAGGGGACTGTAAGGCGCGCTTGCAGCTTGTTTTCTAACTGATCCCAGAAGAGAATTATATATATAGATCTAGATGATAAATAATAAATACTAATAAGTAATAATTAGGCCTAAATTGAAAATTGCCTAAATGAATAAATAATGATAAACGTAGACTATGTAATATGTATGTATTACTATTTACTATGTACTATGTGGTGTACTATACTTAACTATACATAGTATTAGTAACATACTACTATCTTACTAAACAGTTTAGTAACTAAACTAAATTTAAAATTACTAATATAATATAAATAAAATAAATATTCTTAGTTCTTATTAGTTCTTAATAAAATAGTTTTAATACGTTTATAATTTAATAAATGTTATTATAATATAATTAAATATAATGGTACTAGATCTACCGGTGGCGTAGCTACCGTAAAGCTAACGTGAGCCTAGGCCAGGCCTAATATTTAATAATTTAATATAATTTATAAAGGTAGGCCTACAAACAATTACATTTTTCTTTGAAATCTGGATTTGATCAAGTTTATTTTTCCGAGTTCGAAACCGGTTAAAGTTTTTGATTTGGAATTTCCGATTTTTACTGTTCTAAAAATAGATCATAAAAATTCCGATTTTGAAAATAGTATAAAATCAGGAAAAGTTAGTATCCTCACAAATTAATAAAGACTGGGTTCGCTTCTGGTAAAAACGTCTTGTCTAAAAAAAAAACGTCATCATATCCGAAAATTGATAAATGTCGCTTTAAAATAATAATAATAGAAGTTACTTTATATTTTTAGAAAGAGATCGTAATTTGGGCAAGGGATGCAAAGGCACGGGCAGTGTTTCTTCCAGACTTTTTTCTCCGGGGGGAGGGGGGCACTGGGAGGGGGGCACTTGAAATTTTCGGGGGGGGGCGGTAGACTTTCTTCGGGGGGGGGGCGGACACTGTTAAAAGTATATATTTTCTATATAAATTATATACATTTCATTTCGTTTGGGGGAGGGCGGTAAAAAAATTTTGGGGGGGGGGGGGGGCTTCGCCCACCCAAAGAGATGCCCGGAAGAAAACTCTGGGCACGGTACTCTTTTTGGGGGGAGAGACTGGTTTTTGTGATGACGACGACGTGTGGCGTTGGAAAAGGGTGGAGTTAAAAATAAAATAAAAGCAAGCGTGACTCCAATTAGACTTTTGCTTTAACAGTTTTACATTGGGGAGGGGAGGAGGATTGAATACTATTTTTAACGAGCGTACCCGTCGTGCGCGTTGTGGGGATGTCAGAAGAAAAGAAATTTTGATAACATTCACTTGTTACCAAATATTGATATTTAGACAAGGGACCTAATTTTCTGTTGTTTTTTACTATCTCGTATACAAATCTCGACATTTTCCACATCCCCGAGTCGGAAAAATATAGCTTTGCAATCTTGTCCGTATGTCTGTGTGTGTGTATGTGTGTATGCTGCTTGGAAATGCAGAGCGCCCATTTAAGCTCTACTGCTCCCAGGCGCGTCAGGTTCCTCTTAGTCAACGACTCCAGTAGTCCACTGTATCTATAGTGTATGACTCTTTTAAAAAACAAACAAATGCGTCATAGTGCTCACAATACATGGGAGCCAAGGGGCGTATCAACTGACTTGATCACTTGTGTAGTTTGACCAATTAATCAAACAGTAAAACTGACCCCCGGGTCCTAAGACAGCCATTGAGGACCTGTTGGCGCAAATGGCACCCTACTGCCCCCGGCCCCCAGAACAAAATGAGTTAATGACAGAAACCTCACCAAGAGTATTCTTAACGGCTTCCAAAGTCCTATGGTGATTAGATAAAAGATGTGTTCATGTATAAAAGACAGACCATAGACTTTCATATATATATATATATATATATATATATATATATATATATATATATATATATATACATATATATATATATATATATATATATCTGGAAATTTATTTATTTATTTCAGCTAGGAATTATCACAACTGCAAGTGTATTTTACTTGATCATTTATACAAAATTTAGGGACACTGTTTACCAAAGATTAATACATAGTATTTATAACAATGACAGATTATGTAACTGTTTAAAAGCAAAGCATTTTGAAATTGTAAGATAAATAATCTCGTTTCACTTTTAAAATGTGCCTTACGTTTGTAAAATAAATGAGCATTTAATTTAAATTACTGGATTTAAAAAGTTTCTTCCTATTTAAACGTCAAAGCGTTTTTTGCTTCCAGGATTTCCATTGTGAAAAGAAGAGAGAGAGAACACTGATTTGGTTCATGAGGACATTCAACTACTCCAAATATGTGGAACTTTCTAAACCCTAGGATGCATCCAAAAACTTGTAATTGAAATATTTTTAAAAGTCTTTTTTTGAATAAAAAACAGCAGTCAGATTAATGTAAAGCAATTTTTAATTGGCATAACATTGTAGCAATATCAAAAATGTATTGTGTCCAGATTTTCCTCATATAAAAATTAAACTTTTTATTCAAACTAGGATATACACAAACTGGCTTTCAATTTAAATAACAAGTACATGAATGAAGACGCAGTCTCAGGACTGTAGTAATTCTTCTATATAATCAACAGCTTGGCTAAAATTGTCAGCAACTCTGTAAGGAGCTGGGTTTATCTTTGATTCATCTCCTGCTCTGTATTTACCTGAAATGAATCAGTACAATGACATATCAACGCAATGAAAAAATTATATTTGTTTTGCTAAGCCACTACTAGTAGTGGAAATAGCAATGTACCTTCTTTTAATATTTATGAAAAAAATTGCCACAAATGAAAAATATTTTCATTTAGATTTATAAACTTATAGCAATTGAGCTGAGATTAAAATAAGTTAGTTAATTAATTTAATTTAAACAAAAACTGAACATGAGCTTTTTTTTTTTGCAGTTGTTTAACTGAATTATTCATAGTGGTTATTGTATAAAATCTCAAACATGAGATTGCGCAGGGATTAGACCTTTGTAATCATGTGCTACATGGCAGAAGGTGTATTGGGAATTAATAAATGTGATTAAGCATATATCTTACATATTTAAAATGAAAATGAAAAAAATGTTTAGAATTTTTAATATTACTGGCCGTCGGTACCCGTTAAACGTGAATTATAGGTCTATATATTTTAATGTTATATGCCTACATTTTTCAGAAGAATATTTTATAAAATAGTTAATGGTCAAAATGCAATGTTACAGGTTTAACGATATTAGTGACAACTCAAAGAAATAACTAAATAGCTAAAAGTCCGACACATTTAAAATAACATAGGCTACTAATACCTATTAGAAAGAAAAAAAAAAAATTATATACATAATTAGTCAACACAACACCATATATAGAATGTGCACATTAATTATAAGACTTAAATGATTCTGTTAAAACCTGGCTTTTCAATGGTATTTATGTTGTTTTTTAAAGTAATTTGTATTAGTTTTGGCAGAGCAAATTGTATAAATTTCATAAATTAGGCCTCGATAAGTAAATCTATAGATCTAAATCAAATTTTAATGAAATAGTTCATTTCTTAGTATTCTAAAATTGGAAGATGACGCCATCGGTTTTATGTACTTTCCGTACTTCAAATATATGACATGTGACGTCATCGATATCGGCATTCTTGTCTCAACGATAAACGCTTTTCCGGTTGCATAATTAAAACTGATTTTTTTTTTTTACATTCGAATATGCCTTTACTTTTTACTTTTCTTATTTAAATAAAATTTTGTTTATACATTTAAAACATCTACCATATTATTTTCAACAAAAGTCCGTATCAAGTTCTCCATACATAGCTAAAGATTCTGATGTGATATGCTGCGAAAATATTTTGCGGAAAGAGAGAGAGAGAGAGAGAGAGAAGTGCGCACATGGGCTTTTATATATTAGGATTATTATAAAATAAAAAGGAAGAGAAACACATTTAAAAGGGGGAGTATGATGTTTAGCAAAAATGTGTGACAATGATGGTAGTAGTGTGGTATGAAAATCTTCTAAAACTGTGACATTGAGTATGGTTTACCACTAAACTGTTAAACAACATGCAGCTTGTGTATTATCTCACCTGTCTTTACTAAAAATGCCATTGAGTATGGCTGACGAATATACTACATGCAGATTATCTCACCTGTCTCCATTAAAAATGCCACCAAGTAGAGCTGACCAATAAACTGTTAAACACATGTAGCATGTGTATTATCTCACCTGTCTTCTCTAAAAATGCCATTGAGTATAGATGACCACTAAACTGCATGTAGCATGTGTGTTATCTCATATGTCTCCACTAAAAATGCCATCGAATATGGCTGACCAATAAACTGTAAAACAACATGCAGTTATTGTGCAATCTCACCTGTCTTAACTAAAATGCCAACCATTCCAACAGTCTGAGCACCTTGTATATCATCTCTCACATCCTGAAAAATTAAAATCTTTATAAACCAGGGCTGGATAGCTGGTTAGTAGCACATTTTTAAATGTATTTTTACATCTTCTTGTTTTCTCAGTAGGTTGATTTTGTATTTTATAGAATATTTTTTGGTAAAACCATTAGCAAAACAAGCGTAACTCTATTTGACAGATGCATCTTTACAGTTATCTGCCTGCATTATAAAATTAATAAAAGTTAAATAATATATTCTAATACTAATCCAATCCTAATTTATAAAACCCCACGTTCGCACTTCTCTCTCTCTCTCTGTCTGTCCGCAAAAAGTCTACGATGAGGGGGTCAAAACTGACCTCGACTGACCGGCGCCTTATATGGGCGAATTGATTAAGCAAATTCTCAATGTTTTCGAAAGCCTAAGCGAAGCTGGGCAGCATGCCTAGTCTATTATGTAGGTAGAAATATGGCCAAACTTTTGTTTTCTATAAATCAGACCTCATGAAAAAAATGTCATCATTGATTTTTCTGACAGATAAAACTGCTCTTTATATTTTCTTCTTTAACACTAATTATAATTATTCAAAAATATATATTTTTTAAAAATAAAGATTAGTGTATAGGGCATTCAATTACAACTAATTTACATATGTAATGAATGGGTTATTTTAAATAAACTGGTAAAAAATGTGAGTCTTTTTGCACATAGGTACAGAAAAAAAAACTCCAGTAAAATGTGTAAACAGTTCTGGTCTTTTTGAGTTATACATGTTACAAACAATGTGTTTGTAACAATACTTACATCACCTAACTAATTTATATATGTAATGAATGGGTTGTTTTAAATAAACAGGTAAAAAAAGTCTTTTTGTACATAGTTACTGAAAACAAATTGAGTGAAAAAAAATAACAATTATGGTCTTTTTGAGTTGTACATGTTACGAACAATGTGTTTGAAAGAATACTCACATCACCAACCATGACACACTGAGCAGGTTCACAGTCCAACTCTGCTATAGACGAGAGGAAAAAATTTGCTTCTGGTTTGCCTACAACCTCTGCTGTAACGTCTGTTGCATACTCTAGAGCAGCAACAAATGGGCCTAGAAATTCACAATGTAGTAACTAAATATAAGATAGTAACCTAACAGGTATTAATGAGATAATTAATAAAGAGATTATTAATAGACTATAAGAAGATATGTGACAAGGAAGGTGTTATAGCATAGATAAATATATATATATGACTAGACATAGGGATTAATAAGAACGATATAAACTTAGTTGGTATTGACGTTAAGTGATTTGGTTCGAGAGTATGGGCGCGTGTTTGGTTTGTTTAATAGAATATGTGTAGCGTGACTGAGACGTGACAATGATATCAATGACGTAGGACACAAGACTGAAGAGGCATTAGTTGTTGGTAGTAAAGTTTCTGAGGAAATAAGATAGTGTTCACATCCTCATGACATATCAATGGCTGGAGCGACAGAAATATAATTCATTCAACATATCACTCATTCATTCATCCCCCCACCCCCCTTACCACAGAAAGCTTTACAGTTAAAAATATTCTGTTAACACTTAAAACAAAGAAGACTTTGAAGTTAAGAATATTCTGGTAACACTTTAAACATATACTTTTAAATATCTACCTGGCCCTAAAGCTAAGCCATCGTTTCTTTTATAATATCTAGCTTTATGAATAGCTATCAATGAAGCTCCATTTTGAAGCAGCCTGAAATGCAATAAAAACTAATTAGCTTCTAATTACAGAAACAGTTGCTAAATGTGTCTCTGAAAACCATGATATCATGTCTAATTATAACTATCTTTTCTTTTAGCAAAGATGGTTGTGCATTTTACATAAATTATTAAACATATTCTTTGTTATTTGTCACAATGGATTATTAAAGTACCTTAAGAAAAGTGAATATTGAAAAGGGCAGAAGCACTTCATCATTTTGTTTGTGAACTCTGTGTACAAAAGGATTGACTGTTCAGAAAGAATATCAACTTTTGCTTGATTTCCATTGACCTACATCAGACACACATCATAGCTGAGTGCATTCAATGACATCCTAGGTTTGCATTGGAATCCAATTATGATATGTCCAGACTAGCAGTGTTGTGCTTAATAACTCAGCTACCCAGTGTTTTACAATACTGACAAGAATAACATAAAACCCAGTCAAAAACTAGAAAATAGTTTTTTGCTTAAAGTTACATACCTCATAGCTTTGTTCATGTTCTCATAATTAAATTCTTCAGGAGCCAAGCCAATCAACACAGCATTAGGATCATGTGTTGGCACACCTGAAAAAAGTTTTTAAAAAGGTTATGTAATGTAAGTAAATATTTTTAAACAAACAGTGATATAATAATAGTGCATACAACATTTTAAAATTTTGGGTAATTTACTATTTACTATAAAAAAAATTAAATAAGTTTGATATCAGCAAAGGGTTTTATTATTCACTTTTAACAAACATCACACACAATCTTTATTTACTAAATATTTAAAATGTTTACAAGAACTTAGTTTGCTTCCTTACGAACAGGATATCAAAGGAAAATTCATTACCAAACCTTCAAAGTCTTCCAAAGCATTTTTGTCAATCATAAAAAATGGACGAAGCTTCTTGTCATCAATTAGTTTTCTAGCTGCAGACAGTGAGGTATACACCTGGTCTCCTGTCACACTAAAACCAATTTTGTTCAGTCTATTTAACAGAAAGTTTTTACTCTCCTTTGTTGTGTTGGTCACAAATTTTATGTGCAGGTTTTTATTGGCTTGTAATCTGTAAAAATAGAGGTAAATACTTTAATTTGATAGACATCAATGAAATTCAAAAGATATTAAATAATTTGATTTAATTTTCTAACAAAACAGAAAGTATGTTGAGAGCCTTTAAAGAAATAAAAGTTCATAAGCCAATGAATTTGATGTAGAGAGTTTTATTTTTTTGTTTCAAAACATTATGAAAGTCAGGTCAATCAAATCACAAGCAACAATTACTTAAATGTTGTCACATAATTTTAGCTGATTTTTACACCCTTACAAATGACTAATCATTTTTGTTTTTTAATAAGAGATACATAATAAAACAACCTCCATCCCTCACTTAACATTTCATCAAAAAATTCCAAAATCCTCCCCCCCCCCCTTCCACATACCCTAGGTGTGTGGTATCCTTTTTATGGACAACACTGCTGATCATTTTGATTCATCAATATTCAAAGCAGTAAAGTTAGAAAATTATTTTTTGTTTCATTATTAAATACATATCATACAAATGATTTAACAAAGAGTAAAATAGGTCTACCTTTTTAATGCATCAACTGCACCAGGTGTCTGATCATCATCAATATGTAGTGTTCCACTTAGGTCAATAAGGATAGTTTTTATTTTCTGGCTTGCCATTCTAAATGTTTTGGTGAATCGTAACTGATTCCTATTCAATAAGTTAACCACAAAATGTGTATAAAACTATCCTTTTTGTGATTATAAATTCCTTTCAATTTAACTCTCATTAAATCAGATCTTTGCATTTCATTTAACTAATATGCCAAAAATGATCTCTCTAGATTCCTAAAAAGACAGCTCAGTGCACATGACTCAATAATATAAACTGAGTATGTTTAACTATTGTTTAACTTAACTTTTACTGTTCATTCACTCACGAGTCACTAGGCCCAGGTCCTAGCCTAGGCACATACAAATATAATATTAGCCTAAATAATATAAACATTAAAATTTGAAATTAGTGTTACAGTGTAAAGTTAGTAAAGTGTAATATTATGTTACTGTGTTGAGTGTCGACTACTCATTCATAGTCATACCATATGATGACTTATATTTTTTTTGACTATGCTTTTTTATGCTATAATTCTAATACTCTACTACTCTATGCTATGTCATGACTTATGGCTTAGACTTTAGTTTAGAATTTTAGACAGACTGCTTTTAACGTTCTAATTTATTAATACATATAAATTTACTATTTAGGTAATCTAAATCTATCATTTTAGGTACCTAAAATTGACCAAGGCTAGTAATGTTAAAAAATGGTGACTCATTAAATTTTAGCACTTATTTCATATTTTTAGGAGGATTTATTTTTTGAAAGTTACAAACATGTTTCAAAGATTCATTCATGTACATGTTTTTAATCAATCGCATTAAATATTAAAACTTTTCAGTTAGGGCCTATAGGTAAATAAATACAAGTGATGTTTATAGGCCTACTTGTATTAAAAGCCTTTTAAAGTTTAAAGTAACTTTAAAGCCATTCTCATATTATGATATTATTATATAGGTCTAAATAATACTAAATATAAATTATTTTAATAGGCCTAGGCTAGGGAGGCTAATGATTCTGAAGGAATGATAACAACAACGAGGCAACTTTTTTTCACATTACTACTACGTACTAGATCTAGCCTCGGCCGATTTTACTAACCTAAATAATAAAATATATATAAAACGATAGATATTAGATTACCTACATTTATTCATATTCTAATTTAATTTTATAAATCTAACATCTATGATCCATCAATAACTAGTCTACAAGCCACTCATTGTAAAGTTCACAAAGAAGGCTTACAAACTTTCATTTATTAAAAAAAAATTATTTAGCCTATTTATTTCTTATGTAAAGTTGATCTATCTTTTGAATAGCTTAATAGCTCCAAAAAATAAATCTGTTCGAATACGGATTAATATAAATTATATTCTAGAATATAAAATTAAAGTTGACAAAATCATACAAATACTAAATTTAAATAAATGAATTTTTTATTTCGGTTTTTCTTGTTAAATATTTTATTTAAATAGCTCATTAATTTTAGTTTTCATTCGATCAAAAAGTAAGTAGGGAATTTTAAGGTTCTGTGACTTGCAAAGTTGAGAAAATGGCGTCAACGGGAATGTTTGGAAATGGATCTCCTGGTGCTCTCTGGTCTGGTGGCCCAACGCCTGGACAATTTTATAATTTTCCTGGTGGTAAAAACATGCCTTGCAATGGATCTTCAGAGCGCACGCTGTAAGTAATTAGGCTATTTAATTTCCGTCTAATATTCTACAGAATTCTTTATTTTACATTTCAACCTGTCGACTAGTGTCGACTGTCGTTAGGCTTTTTGATGAGAATTAGGCCTACAGAATGATTTTTTTTATTAAAAATGTATCAATAATAGCTTGAACACTAGTAAACTAAGCTAATTTAGCATATTTTAACTTTCTGTGCAAAGTCATTATTGCTGAAAAAAATTCCAAAGTCAAGTCAGCCTGTGGCACCCTCCACTGAACTTGACAGGAGGAAAAAAAACTTGACCCGTGACCCTCATTAAAACAGAATTTGCTTTTGTTTTATTTTTAGTAAACATGTGCTTTATCTTACCCAATAAGTGATAAAAATTTGAAAATTAATTTTAATTACTGTTGTAAAGTGAGATAAACAGCTTAATAAACACATGTTTTCTTGAGGGGGTGTGACCCGGGTGTGTCACATCGCAATTGGAACTTTATATTTCTGTGTTTTATGACTATATTTGTTTACAATTACCATGCTAGGCTTTTAAAATTGATAAAGGGTAAGTATACCAAGTTACAAAATCTGCAATACTTTCAGTTTTAAAAATAATAAAAACTATCATCAACGAAGAAAGCGTAAACATTCTATTTTTAGGTGTGACATAAAAAAACAGTCATAAATCTAGCCAAATGATTGGATTCTTGCGCTGCACACATTTTCAGCGCCTCGTTTTCACCAAACAAGATTATAATAAAATGGCATTATTGGTGGTGATCGTTTGCCCACGAACACATCTCATAAACCCAAGAAATTATTACCAGTTAATTGTAATGTGTGTTAAATTAATAGTTTAAAGTTTTCAAGGAACATAGGCTGGTTTTCAAGGAAAGCGATAGTTCAGAGTTATTTGATTTAAAAGACAAGAATACATAGAGCTATTTTCACTTACGCGCCGCTTGCGAGACAAACAAAGAAATTAGGTCAAAAGTACATCTGGGAATTCTTAAATAACAGACTGAAATAGAAACGGATAGTTCTGTTTTCTAAAATTAACGATGGCATCGTAATCAATAGTTTTATCCCTCTACCGTTTAGAGAAAGCGAAACTGGTCGCCATTTTAGTAAGCGCATGAGCCGTGAGATGCCACGAAAATGACAAACCCGGAAGTGTTGAATCGAACGGCCTACTGTCGTCACACTGCTTTTTGTTGTCTAGGCCTCTCTGTTCATTGTTTTTCAAATCTGAAAATTGAATATGAGTCTAAAATCTAGTTTTTTAGCTAGATAGTAGATTACCAGGTAATCTATTGTTTTAGGTATGTAAAATCAGTCGAGGCTAATAATAATGTGTAAAAAGGTGACTCATTAAATTTTCGAAGTGACTAAGCTACTCTAAAAGTCAAAAGATGTTTTGGCAGAAAATGCGAACCCATTAGATTAGGAATAGGGTTATGGTTCTGCTGTTTTTTGTAAGCACACGCATGCGCAATACCATCAAAATCGTCGCAAATGAAGGTGGTAGTTTCTCTCCATTGCACATGCTTATCTTTTTCAGGCTTGAATCAGCCCTTTAATTTTAGAATTTTTTTTTTTACATTTGTAGGAGGATTTATGTTTTGAAAGTTGAAAGCTACAAAAATGTTTCAAAGTTTCATTCATGTACCTGTTTTTAAACAATTGCAATAAAACTTTTTAGTAATAAATAAGGATGCATCTATTTGGACCCGGGTCCCAAAAGCCATGGCTGCTATTGGGTCCCATGTCCTTATAGCCTCGGCCGCTATTCTGACCAGCCAATAACATTATTAAGATTTAGTTAAACAATTATTCTTTTAAGATGCAGAATATAACTTTTTTTCACATTTCTAGCCTCGTCTGATTTTACGCACCTAAAAACGATAGATTACTGAGTACTAATCAGACAATTAACTTGTAATGAAATATAAATGCCTAGATTTACTAATTTAAAAAAGGAAGCATTTACTTTGAACAAAGTATTACTGTAACTGATTTTGAGTGAGTGAGTTTAAAGAAATTAATGCTCTTCCGATCTATTGCAGGAAAAATGTAACTTTTTAGCGCAATTTCCATTCTGGAGAATTGCGTTTATTAACCCGTCATTTCTGGATGTATGAATGAATGGATGGATGGATGGATGTGTGTCCGCAGCTTTAAGTCGTATCTCCTCCTCAACGAAGCAATATCGATGACTAGTTCCAAAAGCAATTATGTTAAGCAAGTTACGAGGATGAACATAGGCCATAAAAATTAAGGGTTTCTTTCATGGATTTCCCGGAAAAGCCAAAAAACCTTGGCCCATATCTCGGCAACCAGACCACTTAGCGACTTGAAACATGTACCAATCGATTCCTGCCATAATTTAGAACAATATTGCCGAAGAAAGTTTTCAAAAATATCCTTTCGTTCGGTCACAAAAATTTTTTTTAATTAATTAAAATTTGGACCGAATTAGTAAGCATATTTATCCAACCACACCACACGCGGCATCACGTTCAATAGCTGCGCCATCATCACATCAGTAGGCGCGCAATGGTTTTTAGTCATGTAACTCTATTGTAAATAAAACATGTAAAATACTGGAAAAAAAATTACTAAAAAACGTTTTAATAACCAACCAATGGTTTTACTAACCCTGCTCTTGATTTACGCTACGACTGAGCTATTTTTAGATAACATAAGGAAATTGCGCTTAAATGTCACTAGACTTTTTAATTAACTTGTTTGTTTTTCCATGGACCATTTTTTAACACTACTTGGCATATTTGAAACTTGAATATTCTTCTCTAATAACAATCTAACAGTTTTAACAACCTTTTTTTTTTAAAAATAATTCTTTTTTTTTTCAAAACTTACACAATGGATTTTGAGAAGAAATGCACTGTTTGGAAGAATATTGTTAGAAATAGCCTTTTTTTTTTTGTTTAGCTTCTTAGGCTTTTTTTCTGTTGTTGTAAATCTATTTTCATAAAGCATGAATTAAAAAACAATTGGTCCTTGAAATTAAAATTTACACCTTACATTTTTCTTTCCAGGAACCCCATTGTTATGGGATCATCTGTACTTGGGGTTCAGTATAATGGTGGTGTTGTGATTGCTGCAGATATGCTTGGCTCATATGGTTCCCTCTCAAAATATCGTGACTGCCCTAGGCTTCTGAAGGTGAACGACACAACAGTGATTGGAGCATCAGGAGATTATGCTGATTTTCAGTATCTTTCAAATATTATTGAACAACAAGTGTAAGTTTTACATTATAGTTAAACTTAGCATTATTAATTATTAGTAGTAGTAGTAGTACGCCTGTTATCCGACTAGAACAGACAAGTGCATTCCAATGATTCCGGGCTATTTTTTGCTGTGCCTGTAGCCCCAACTACTCCAGTGATGACTACTTTCCTTGTGACATCCTCCATTGTACATTTGTCTGCCTTTTATTTTTCCTACATTTGTTCACTTCTTCAGAAGTATTGTTCCTACTGCTCCACATGGTAGGTTTTAAACCATTGCTATTAAATTAGCATGTACTTACATTTTACAAATGTTTATGAGGTTAAGAATTTCACAAAATTTATTTTACCTATCTAAAATAGGGATGTGTTGTATTTTACAGTATTGATGAAGAATGTCTCAATGATGGGTTTGGCTACACACCAAAAAGTCTACATTGCTGGTTGACAAGAGTTCTGTACAACCGCCGCAGCCAGTTCAATCCATTGTGGAATACATATGTCGTCGCTGGTATTGATGAGGGCAAGCCGTAAGGACTTTTGTTAAACATCTTGTTGTCCATTGAATTATTTTTTTAAATTTAAAAACAAATCAGAAATTGTCAGCTACCTCGCAATGAAATCACTATACAGTTGCTTGTGTTGTCTCTAAAAATATCTAGAGTTGGGTACTCAAATTTTCCAATCACTGGAATATATACATTTTCAGATTGATGGTTTCTACATTCCTTAGATATGTATAGCAAATGAATTACCCCATCAAACTAAGTTTAGCCACTTATTTTGTGTCACTGAAGCATTATTAGATGGAATCTCCTAGAAATCATAATACTCTATGCTGAGATTGATTATTCTTACATCAGCTCATGAGTGGTTTATTTAGTAGAAAGTCTTTTTTTTTAAATCTGTTTTTTTTTTAAACTTTGATAACTGTTTAATTGTGCAAATATTCAACTCAAAACAATATACCACATTAGAGTGAGACATTAATAAATCAAGGCTTAAAAACATCTATAGTCAAAGCTTTTTTTCTGCAAAGTCAATTGATATATTTAACATAGAAGGGTCTGCTATCTAGTCTCACATTAAGTCAAGTAAACATGAACAGCTATAATAAAAAAGATGGACTGCATGGCTCCCTTAGTTAGTTGTTTTATCCTGTCTTGGAGTCAGTCCAGATCTGTGACACCTTTCAAAACCAAGTATTCTAATGGCACTGTAACATTGTGGCCATTTACATTTTGTTCCTTCTGCACCACCAGCTATCACCTCGACACATATGTATATGTATATTTGTGGCATTGTGAATTTAGTGGGCTGTGGTCTCTGATGCTTTCAGGTGTCCAAAAAAAGATTGAGTGTGAACATGGATGTCATATTGGTGAAGGGGTCGGCGTGGTCGAGTCGGTAAAGCTCATGGTTGCTAAACCGAAAAGTCTCTAGTTCGAACCCTCGGGCAGATGAGGCTCGTTAGCTGGGGACAGACGCTCTTCTAGGAGAGACAACTCAAAAATCAAACAACTGCTGCCTTGTAGTTTGTTCTTGGTTGGACAAAGGCTATGGAAGCAAATCCAAAAAGAAAAGCAGGCTGAAATCGGAGTCAATGGCCTCAATGGTGCATAACCAGTTGACACGTAATCCTTAATTGTGATGGAAGCATGGTCGAGTCGGCAAAGCTCATGGTTGATAAATTCGAAAAAAGTCTCGAGTTCAAACCCTCTGGCAGATAAGGCTCAATCCCTCCCAACACTAAAAAATTAAGAACGAAGAAGAAGAATCTTGGTGAAAAACCTTGAGTAAACTGTTTTGAATAAAATGGTTTTTTTTTGTGACCATGTGTTGGAGGCCTAGAAAACCTAAGTATCAGTAGAAGTTTCCTATGGCAGCAGATCAAAGTGTAGGTTGTTTTTAGAAGAGAAGGCAGAAGAGGAAGAAACAGATGACACTAGAAAAATGGATTGTGGCAGCATATCTAAGTGTAGGTTGTTTTTAGAAGAGAAGGCAGAAGAGGAAGAAACAGATGACACTAGAAAAAGGATGACAGCTTGGTGTTTCAACTATGACAGAAACTTGAGGCTAATAGGCTGAAAATACCAGCAGCCATAAATGATAGAATCAAAAACAATGTATTAGTCTTCACAAAGCAAACAAGACCAATTAACCAGTCTCACTTCAGAAACTCACTTTGAAGTAAAAGTAATTGCATTTTTAATATTATTTGTTTTTAGATACCTGGGTTATGTTGACAAAATAGGAATGGCTTATGAGGCTCCATCTATGGCTAGTGGTTTTGGTGCTTATCTGGCTCTGGTAAGTGGATTACTTTTCTTTTTCTAATAGTGCAATACTTTGTTCCATTATACTTAAAAATATGTCTATTTCAAGTATGTTTCTAAAATATTTGAAGTAGGTTTTCTATAAACATTGGCATCTTAAAATCAGACTTTGTTTTCCACGCTCTAGAAACACATTTATTGATGTTTCACCTGCTACCTTTTCATGCTGTTTAGCATGTTAATATTTTTAAATTATCAAATATAAATCTTTGAAAAGGTTTTTAAATTTTAAAAATTTATGTTCATTTTGTAGTGTTTATATCTTCAAACTGTTTTTTTTTTAAGGATTTTGTCATTAATTTTTGTAATTCATTGCTAAATTAGTACCAACTATTGTTAAGGCTGCCTAAATGTATATCATACTATGCTATCCACTGTATTTTCTTGTCATCTTTAATCACCAGCCCATTATTCGTGATGCCATGGAGAAGAAGCCTGACATGACCAAGGATGAGGCCGTCCAACTGATTGACAGGTGTATGAAACTTTTGTTCTACAGAGATGCCAGGGCCCTCAACAAGGTAATGTCCTTTAAGCTCTCATCACTGACAGCTTCATTTTCATTAGACACTCTATAACAGGAGAGGTGGTGTAATACTGTCTACCTTTCTTTGTAAATAAACTTGGTTAAGAAATTAATTTTTACCACTCTTAATTTTTCACAAGAAGTGGAGTAAATGCCCCATACATAATTGCATAATGTATGTTTGTATGTGATAATTAATGCACAAAATCATGTTTTAAAGTGAGTACTGCTAGGAAGTCAAAATTTGAGTTTTTTTTACAATATTGAGACTGCTACTTGTTTTATTGGGATCCCCTCAAGTTAATGCTAAACTTACATTCCTTGTTTTGATCTCTACAGTATCAATTAGCCGTTATTACAAAAGAAGGAGTGGAACTTAAAGGACCTATTGTATCTGATACAAACTGGGAGATTGCTCATATGATCAAGTAAGTTTAAATTAATGGGTTTTTTTATAAAAATACTTTGGTGCCAAAAGTGATTGAGTTTCTTTAATAAATACTTTTTTGTGTTTAACTAAGAAACATCCATTTTAATACTAATTTCATGTATATTTATCAAATTCAAGGTTATGATACAATTGCTCAATGATGACATTTTAATTTGGATTAATAATCCATTGTAATATTGCTCTTTTTTATTCGAATTGGTCAAACAGATTTTTTCCTTATTTATATTTATTACTGTTACTATCTTGAGAATAGCACAGCTTGAACTAAAGTAATTAAAAGTTTATATATTCCATTATCCCATTGTCTAGGAGAAAAAGTAAGTTTTAAAATTGTGACTATAGTAAAATTTACTCAGTAGAATTCCCTGGTGGTGGTTTAAGAGTAATTATTTTGTTTTGTTTTGCTCCACTTCAATATTTTATTATCAACATATACTGTCTAGATCTTGTTTTGTTCACCTGGTAAGGTTGTAAATAATTGTTTTTTCTTTTTTCCCTATTCTGTCTATTAATTAATTAATCTGCCGGGAGATGCTGAGTACTCCCAGCATTTTTTTTGTAAAACAAAGTCAAGTTCTTTTTTTTAACTTGACTGTCAACAAGGCAGATGAAGCAAGGCCCATAATTTTTACGCCTACATGTGATGGGAAAGTGTGGATCAGCAATAGGCCCAGCTGTTTTTACTTTCCTAGACTTAAGTCTGTTTCAACAATGTCATCCTAACTCCCTTTGTTTTGTTTATCAGTTATTACCCAGTTTTATTTTGTACTTCTTGTACTTTAGTTTTCTTTATATTGAAATGTTGGTACTTTCCTGTTTAGTCATTAGTCTTGGTTGGGTTAAATTAAGGATTAGGGCTTTATCATACTGTAAATGTAAAGTTCCCTTTTAAACCTGTCAACCCACATATTCACCTGTTTCTGTGACCTTGGCATATGAAGGGATAGTGTGGTCAGCACTGTTCACTGTCTCCTACACTTTCTGTATTGTAAGTTGGGTGGACTCAGTGATGTGCTACAGCTCAAGCTAGTGACCCAAACTCAAGACTTTCTGGGTAGCAGTTAAATGATCTAACATTCAACAACGCCATCCCAGTTTATCTATGTTAGGTATCTTAAATGTCAGTGCAGGTTGTGTCTTTGTGTCCTTGTCTTGGATTTCACAGGAAGGTACTAAATTCACTGTAGTGTAAAAACATTTTATGGGAAAAGTGAATTCTAATGGCTTTTTTTTAATAACAAAAAGTTGAAATATTGTTTTCCCTATTTGCCCTTTTATTTTTTCTACTAGTACATGCACTAGCTCTGAGTTTTTGATTGATCAATGATTTATAGAATACTGATGTGCTCACTGCAGTAATTTAGACGCCAAGAAATATCTAGATTTTTATGTAAATAAAACTCACATGACACAAGTGTGATCTGTTTATATGTAACATTATTAATATCAGGCTCATCATAAAATTTTGTCTAAAATGTTTCAATATGAACTGCTGGATCAGCCAGCATGATTAGCCAGTCATATGGCAGTGACTTAGCTTAGATCGACAACTTCAGATTGGCACATAATAACTAAAAAGCTGGTATAATTTAAAAACTAAAATTTAGACTATTTATCATTCAAATATTTTTGCCCAGGAGTGTGGCTTAAGTTCAAGTGTTTTGTTTTTTGTTAACTTATTTCCCTTGTTTGTAGAAAATTTACTTGGAATGAGGAAAATAACCAATATTCATTACTATTTTTACTAGTTCATATTTTACAACGAAATGTGAGCACATTAGAAATAGTTTTCTAATGTGCTTTCTAACCTAACCTGAAGTACTTGCCAAAGTCTTATAACAGAATCACAAAAATACAAAAAAGAGCTATAACATTAAATGTGAATATCTCAAGCCTCAGCTCATCAAGTTGTGCACAACTTTTACACACAACATATATTTATAAATAACTATATTTAAAACAAATTATTCTATCTACAGAGGCTATGAATAGTCTGCCACAAGCAACAGAGTGAATCATCTTTCAAGTTAATCCACTTCATTGAAAATTAGAGGAAAATATATGTTGTTTTGTAATTAAAAGTTATGTTAAAAATGTGTATGTATGGTGTGTGGGTGGTTTTATTAAATTGAACCTTAAACTGCATCATGTCTTTGTCTTATTACATTACAGGGTGAATTTAACTAATTTTAAAATTTGGTCTTGGCTTCAGTTGTAAATAAACCGGGAGTGATCTCCCCTAAACTTTCTCGAATATTCTTATATAAAATAACAGGGGATGGGAACTCGGGCTATAGACATGATTTTTAATCCATTTTAAATACTTAAAGTTTTAAAAATAGAATAAAATCTCTTAGACAAATTAATTGCACACCAAGTGAACGCCAAATAAAAAAGCGCATAATGGTGCGCAATATTATTATTACTTTTAAAATTTACATTAGTTTTTTGAGAAATCGGAAGTAGCGTAAAGTACTACTTCCAGTCAACGGAAATGACTCAAAATTTAATAGAAGGTAGAGAATTAGATCTTTTACTTACATATGAAATTTCATTTATCTATCTGAAATAGTACTCAAGTTATAGGCTTTTGAAAAATTCAAAGTAGGAAAAGTACCACTTCCGGTTATCGGAAATCGCTCAAAAGTTGATACGGATCTACGATTTTGATTAAATACCTATATATGAAATTTCATCAACCTAGCTGTAACGGTACTCAAGTTATCGTGTTTACACACGGACAGACAGACATACGGACAAGATTGCAAAATTATGTTTTTCCGTATCAGTGAGGTGTGAAACGTCGAGATTTGTAAAAATCTCGATTTTTTTTTTTTGCACGATTACAAGACTTTCTCTATACTTCGTATATACGAGAAAGTAAAAAAGACTAAACTTAGTCAAAAATGATAACTAACTAAAATTTCTTTTCTGTGATGCCCAAAAGTTGATACACTCTGGTTTTTTAAAACCTGTATAAGTTGGTGGTAACCACTGGGAAAAGTGGGCAGGTCTAGAAAATCATGGAGAACTGCTGAAGATAATGTGTGGGCACACATGGGCCCCGTAGAAAAACACTGCCCAAAACTGTCAGTTGAAGAGGTCTAGAATCAGGATTCATTGGAATAAGTCAAGTTTATTCCTTCACTCAGTTTGGTGGTATCGTGCCTTATGTTTGTGTGCTCATACAAGTTGCCCACACTACCACAGTTGGATAATGGTTACATAGTTCTCTCAGGAGTATGTACTGTGCCAGATGCTTACACTGCACTAACAAGTGCAGTTTTTAGTGTGAAATAAATTTTTTTTGCTGGTCTTAAATTTTTACCTCACTGTTTCTGCAGACATGTATGTTAGTTGTGAGAGAAACAAAAATATACAGAATTTTTTTTTTAATCTTCAGTGAAACAATAGTTTTTTATAACTTTTCATTTGCAAAATTAAGTTTCAAATCTACATGACTGTTAAGTGGTATTATTTTCTTTATTTTTCACCACATTTCTAGTGAGTTGTGAAGACTCAAAAATATTTGCACACTTGGATTAGGCTACCGTTGCACAAGAATCATAATCATGAAAGACAAAACAGGCAATTACCAACAAAAGAAATAAGAATACTTTCTAATTGTAACTAGTAACATCTATTTTGTAATTTATATTTAAAACTATAGAGAAATTGTTCAAATATTAAGTTTTTTAATCAAAAAGTTAAAACGTTATTCTGTCAAACAACAAACAAAATTGACAAAGAATAATTTATCCTTGTTGGCCTGTTGTCAATCATACCGTAGTATGTGGCTTATGTTTTGCACGACTTCCCTTTCTTACTGTAACAAGGAAGATTAATTTAGTATTCATACGTATAAAGTCTATACATAATATTTGTTGGCTCGGTCAGGTGTCACCCGGTGCAGTAACTGACAATTTCACCCCACCTCCCTCCAATAACAGTGCATTTCTGGTTTGGTGTTACCCTTCTAACTCTACTATTTCATATATACATATTAATATATATTTTTTTTATTTATATGTATATACATAATATATATTACATATTAATATATATGTATGTATATGTATCTACATATTAATATGTATATGTATCTACATATTAATAAATATATATACATATTAAAAAATATATATTTATTTATCTAGGTATTACTATATATATATATATATATATATACATATATATATATGTAAATATATTGACTGTCTGATTGCTAAGGATCAGTCAAATCTGACCTGGTTTTTTCTCACATCTCTGTGATATCTGATAGAGTACCAAAGCCACACACACAGCTACGATGATTCCATAAAACACTGAGCTCCTGGTCTGTAGGGTGGTGCTGTAGATGTCATTTACAGCTGCGCTTATGGCTAGGTTTTCAAACACTGTTTCTAGAGAAAGGTGGATTTTGATTGGATAACTAGATTCTACATTAGGTTTTTATGATTGGCATGTTGAAAAAACATTAAGCATGAGTAATTATGAAGACCAGAAAAAATTCGCACAGGGAATTTATTTTAAAATCGATAATTTAACGAAGATAGCCATGAATGACCACATGTACATTGTAGAATAATAAAACATTTTTTCCAACATTTCAAAATGAAAGTGTATTCGTATCATGAGTTTGCATTTGCTCATTTTTCTATGTGCGCAGTGTTGGTGCGCGTATTTTTTTGGGAAACGTAATTTCTACTAATTTGGCCTAGTTTACCTTCTACATTAAAGTTTAAGATTAATAAAAGTAAAGAATGCTCTTTAGACCAAACGGTCCATTGGCCGGATGAAATAGAGTTCATATGCTTCTTGCCCTCAGCATATGAAGGGAAGGCGTGGTCAGCACTTTCCCCTGCTAACTTTACTTTCCCCAACTTGAGTTAGATACTCATCAGAGCTGGGTAGACTCAGGTACGTTCTACTGAATTTACCCCAGATTTGAACTAGAGTCTTTCGGGTTAGCATCTTAGCGCTCTAATGCTTAGGCAACGCGTCCCATAAAGCCTAGGGTTTGGGTCTAAAAATATTTTTTTTTTAAAATGAATTTAATGTAATTTGGTCTACCTCCAAAAATTTCAACCTCGCAAACATTCAACTTCTTGTTGTTCCAATGAATGTCTGTTTGTCTGACTTCACGGTTTACAAACAGTAGCACCGGATTGTTTCCCTTGCTCTCCACTGTGAATTCAAATTTTTTGTCCTCCACGTCAGTTCCCGACACTTGCAACACTATCTCCTCATTTTCGTGCTCTGGGGAATACAAATACTGGCTGAGATCAGTGTTTCTTTCAGACTATTTTTTCCGGGTTGGGGCACATGAAATTTTCAGGGGGACGACACATGTACAAGGTTTTACTATATAAATAGTATCTCGTTGGAGAGGGGGGGGGGGTATCACATGAAATTAAATTAATGCTGATGGTGTTTGATGCCCTACACCCAAATAATATGTGTAGTGCAGCTCTATTACTATTTACACTGTGTTTACAGGTCTACATAAATATAATATACTGTGTTTACAGTTCATCGAAAAGTGTAAACAGAAAAATGCATTGATATAAATTCACTTGGTCATATTTTGTGGAAATATATTTTACTATGCTATGATGTATATGTAATCATTCTTTGCTAAGGTTTTAAATGATGGATTTGAAAATTTTTAATTCCAAATAAAAGTAACTAAAATGTTCCAAATATTGGCTTGGTGTCACCCTTCAAATGGTGACCATAGTGCAGACCACGCACTCCGCCACTCATTTCTAAAACAGCACTTCACATTCAACCCAAACTCAGCATAATAATAAGAAAGTCAATCTTACCTTTCAAATAAATCTCTACTTTAAAGATATATTTCCATGAAAAAGTCAGGACACTGAATGTACCAACACTACTGAAATCAACACAGGAGCTGCGTCTATTGCCGTCCCTGAGCTTGCTGATGACGCCTTGTTCTATGTTCTCTCCCATGTAGATACTTGCATGCTGTTTTAGCCTATGACCTGTGGAATAGATGAACACCTGATGTAGTACATACAGGAGGATGTAGTACATTACTGAAAAAGTTTCGTCATGTTGATAGTGGCGTTACAAGTAGTATTACTACAGTAGCTTTACATCAGTAGCTTCACATTAGTAATGTTAAAACAGTAGCGTCACGCCAATAGCGTCAATAAGAGTAACATCACAAAAGTAGCGTCACAACAGTAACTTCACACTAACAGCGTCACATCGGCAACAATACATCAGTAGCATCATAACAGTAGTGTCACAACAGTAACCATATACAAGTAGTGTCACACCAATAGCGTCACAACAGTAGCGTCACACCAATAGTGACACAACCATAGCATCACAACAGGAGTGTCACAACAGTAGCATCACAACAACAACAATATACAAGTATCGTCACAACAGTAGCATCACACCAATAGTGTCACACCCATAGCGTCACAACCATAGTGTTACAACAGTAGCATCACAACAACAACAATATACAAGTATCGTCACAACAGTAGCATCACACCAATAGTGTCACACCCATAGCATCACAACCATAGTGTTACAACAGTAGCATCACAACAACAACAATATACAAGTATCGTCACAACAGTAGTGTCACACCAATAGCGTCACTAAGAGTAGTAATACAACAGTAACGTCGCATCAGTATTTTTACAAGTAGCGGACACCAGTATTCTGGTATATAAGCTATAAAGTTATAAACACATTTGTATAATTTTCTACCCAGATTTTATATAAAATCATTATGAATTATATGTTATTTATCTAGATCTAGATAATCTAATGAGTAATTAATAATTAATTACTAATTAATGATTGAAAACAATTCAGTCAATTCAGTACTCAGCAAACAAAACAAATGTTCTGTCACATTTGCTGTCACTCTTTTGCAGGCCAAGCATACCCACCCACCCCCTTGTGACGCCACAGTGTCAACTGTTACATTAAGACGCTCACCTCCATCAATATACAAAGAACACAAAAGCAGGTCCGTCTTGATCTCCACAGTGAACTTTCTCAACTGGACCGGTGAGATCAAATTGACCACCACACTTTGACTGTTGGCTTTCTTCACAGCCAGAGCCTGTGCTGTCGTAGAGCCGTTGGCTGGATCGGTCAATACACTGACCAGGAAGGAGTCTTCTTTGACCGTCTCTTTGACCAGAACAGTTAGTTTTATAACAACATAACATTGAAATTTTCAGAGAGGAAAAGTTGTTGTTAGATATTCCCAAGAAACACGTGTAAAGTTCTTTATTGTGTGGGACAAAAGAACAGTTTCTCTCAGGCTTTGGGGGGGGGGGGGGGGGGTACACTCCCCAAAAATGCACTTGCACCCCCCCCCCCCCAACATCAAAAGACAGTGGCGTAGCCCGGATCGTCTCAAGGGGGGGTCCAATTTTTACCCGGGGACAAACCTTCGATTTGCACCCACCCCCCTCCCTCAGACTTTTAATTTGCACCCCCCCCCCCTCAAACTTTCGATTTACATCCCCCTCAAACTTTATATATACACCGAGGGGTATATGGGGGGCTATGACCCCCCCCCCCCCAACCCCCCTGCCTACGCCACTGTCAAAAGAAATACGAAAAAGATATTTTATCTTTAACTAGTGACACCCCCCCCCCCCACACACACACACCAGAAAGTCAGCATGTTTAAAACAATTCTTGACGACCATATTTCATCCGCCCACAATCACCACCACTAACATCACCACCCCCACCTCCCCTCCCCCAGCTCATCCCCCCCCCCCACCACATTAACTAGAAAGTACCAAGTCTCATGAGAATCCAGTGTAAATGATATGACATATATATTCCACCCCCATACCAGCACCCACCCCCACATCCTTTCTCCCCCCTCCCCCATCACATTAATTACAAAATGCCAGTCACCCAGCACATCGAACTCCAGTGTAAACGACTTGACGAGCACATCCTGTGTAAAGCTCAGCTCGATGCTCTGGTTCAGCGTGTTGACACATGTGTAGTCCTCGCCATCAAACAGCTCACAGGGGAACACATCTGCGGCCAACCAGCTCATGTCTTCTAAATAGTACAGTAAATATTCATTTTTAGGGCCAAGCGATCTTAGCAGATAGGTTTCAAATTTTCTTGACTGACCTCGGCATATGAAGGGATGGTTGTGGTCAGTACTTTACCCAGCCGTCTTTACTTTCCTCAACGTAAATCAGGTACCCATAAGAGCTGGGTGGAAGGCCGTACTACAGCCTTTAGTCCGAATCGAGATCCGAATTCGAGATTTTCGGGCTAGTAGCCAAATGCACTAACACTCGTCTACGATGTCCCTCCATATCTTCTACATATTTGTAAAAGTATTTTTTTTTTCGTAGAACATATTTAAAAATGAAATGCACTACGGAAAAATGCACGACCAAAAACTGCACACGAAAATGGAAATAAAAGGTGGGGTTTTTTTTTTAAAATAGATCATTTTAAAACGCTAGCAAAGAATGATTACATGTAGATTTTAGAATAATAAAACATTTCTCCACGAAATAAGATAAAATGTAAGTGTATCAGAGGCGTAGCGAGGGCGGGGCGGGGCGGGGGGTGCGGACCGCACCGGGTGATAACATTTAAGGGTGACACCATGGCAAAAAATTGCATAACATACCGAAGAAAAATGCTTTTGTTTGCCAGTTCCATAGATGATTAATGAAATTGAAATAGTCTTTTAAGTACAAACCAACAATTATTACAAGCGGGAGGGGGTGACACCATGACGTAAACGAGCTAACTATAGAGAACACAATGCTACATACACCTGTGTAATTAATAGACTAAAGGTAAAACACATATTTAAATTATAGGACTATGTAGGCCGACACTCGCAGGCACACACACACACACACACATATATATATATATATATATATATATACAGTGGCGTAGCGAGGTCGGGTGTCACCCGGTGCGGCACTTAATGGTGTCACCCCCCCAGAGGCATAGAGACCCTTCCCAGGGACAAACTTTCAAATTTTCGATTTGCACCCCCCCCTCAAACTTTCGATTTGCACCCCCCCCCCCTCGAGTTTTTCTCTATATATTTTGCTATTTTTTGCCTTGGTGTCACCCCCTAAATGGTGTCACCCGGTGCGGTCCGCACCCCCCGCCCCCCCCTCGCTACGCCCCTGTATATATATATATATATATATATATATATATATATATATATATATATATATATATATATATATATATATATATATATATATATATATATATATATATGTTTGTATGTATGTATACTTTGCTTCTCAGTGGGGATGGGGGGGGGGGATGACACCACAAAGTGCCGCACCGGGTGACACCCGACCTAGCCACGCCATTGAAGTGTATTAATATAACGAGTTTATATTTGCACCTTTTTCTGTTTGCGACAGTTTTCGATTGCGTATTTTGTTTTCTGAAATTCGTTAATAACGTATTTCCATTGAATGACGTCACACTTCTAGAAGGAAGGGAAGCAGTCGGACTTTTATGAAGATGTGTGATAAGGGTGAGAGGTAAGGTGCAAAGTAACATTTTGAAAGGTTAGGGTTAAAAAAAAACCACACGAAATTTCGTTATTTCGCGTTTTCAAAAGACTTATTTTTTGGGAATTGTGATAAATATGTCGTATTGATATTTTCAACTTTGACGAGCTCAGTTAATATTTTAGAAAGAAATCGCTGCTTAAAAGAATTCCCTTTTGAGATGGGTGGTAGAGTGAGGTGTGATTTCATTTTAAATGGTTATATCTCTTTTGTGACGAAGGGGAAAGGGGAGGGGTAAAAATCGTTTTAAGAAGCGTAACCACGTAACCTAAAACTGCGCAAAGAGAAAAATGCGCAAATAAAAACTAATAATACTAATACACTTTAATTTTGTCATCTTTCGTGGTATTTTGTTTTATTACGCTACTATGTACTTGCAGTCACTCTTTGTTAAGGTCTACAAATGATGCTTGATTTAAGAAAACAAAAATGTCCTTGTAACATTTTTAGTGCGCAGGTTTCCATTGCGATGTTTTTCTTTGCCCATCTTTCCTTCCCCCCCCCCCCCCCCCCCCAAATATCCAATGCCTCCAACACTCACCACCCAGTGGGTGAAAAAAAAATCTGCAAGCACTTACCTCTCTCGCAAAATAATCCGAACGATCCTTGCATGCACATCAAGTCATCGCAAGTGCCATCAGCACGGCATGCATATTTAGGGCAGTGGCATTTCAGTAAGCAGTTCTCTCCGTAGAAGCCCTTAGGGCAAATAGAGCGGTCTACGCGAGGAAGCAGACGATTTATTGGTTGTTATATTTAGTATAGGGTTTTAGGACAACATGGCTGACGTTGGGCTACACATGATCTGCATGGCTAAGGTTGGTCTACAAAAACAATATGCCCAACTTTGGGTTAAATTAAACAAAATGGCCTACATTGGTTCCTTAAAAGCAATATGGCTGACATTGGCTACGTTAAATAGCTGACATCGGGCTATATAAAAACAATGTGGTCGACATAGCAGAGGCGTAGCGACCCTTCCCGGCGCCCGGGGACAAACTTTCGATTTGCACCCCCTCAAAGTTTCGATTTGCAGCCCCCACCCCTCAAACTTGCAATTTTTTTTCCAACCCATTTTGGCGCCCCCTAAGGTCGGCGCCCGGAGACATATGTCCGTCCCCCCCCCCTCCCTCACGAAGCCTCTGCTACATTGGCTTCCTTTCTTTCTTTACACACATCACCGACTCAGGAGGTGTCTCCCATTAGCCAGGCAGGCCTCAACACGGCAAACTTCGACTAACTGGTTTGTATATCGGTTTGGTTACCGTGTAGCGGTCGATTCTGTCCTTGGGTTCTCACCAGGCTTATCTTCCACCCCACTGAACGCAGGTACCCCGCCGTCAAGCACCCGGCCCGACCTTAGGGGTAGTGGGGATCTAAAAAGTTTGAACCAGACCTTCCCGTCTCCACTGGTACATGATACCGCCAGTGTTTCTTCCAGACTCTTTTCTCCGGGGGGGCAGTTGAAATTTTCGGGGGGGGGGGCGGTAAACTTTCTTCGGGGGGGGGGGGGCGGACACTGCTAAAAGTATATATTTTCTATATAAATTATATAAATTTCATTTCGTTCGGGGGGGGGGGGGGGGGCGGTAAAAAAATTTCGAGGGGGGGGGGGGGCTTTGCCCCCCCCCGAAGAGATGCCTGGAAGAAACTCTGGATACCGCCCGGTTCGCGAGGGCGTCAATAACCGTGACGCAAGCGATTTTGGCTACATTAAAAGTGGCTGTCATGCATTGGGCAACATACAAATAAAATGGTCAACATTAGCTACATTAGATGCTAAGTGGGAGCAATAACGGCGTAGTGGGGTTTATTTCAAGGGTATAGAAAATGAATTTGTGAGGCTTAAGCAGTGGCCGATTGGGGAGGGGGGGGGGGGAGTACCGCATATATTTTAGGGGCTCAAAATTACCCCTTCACTCTTTATGGTTTTTATCAACAATTGCATAAAATATTTTCCTACCGTTTTTAAAACAAAATTTTTAATGAATGTTTTAATGTTCAAAGGAGAACCACAAGGTTATTGATTTTCTGTTCTAAATTTAGCATCGTTTTAAGTCGTTTAATCTTTGGACACTTAATTGCAAAGTCTTTAAATTTAAACCTAATTAGTTGTATTTCATTACTTACTATCACGTAAACATTTTTTACCAGATACCAGGAACAGCTTTAGGAAGAAAACAATCAGAACAACCATCTTTCAAAAATATGCACAATTAACCATTCATGAACTTCCTTTCATTTAAGGTCCAGCTCAATGCTTGTCTGTGCATTTATTATTAATACAAATTTCTCGTAAAATGATGCGCTCTATTGTAATGTATGGTATATAGACAATTTAAATGTTGGTGACCAATGTAGACTAGATTTAGTAATCTATGTAGGAGACAAATGCAGTATGTATGTCTACTTTTTTAAGTTGAAATCAAAACAACAATTATTTAATAACATCCTTAACTGACTCATTGCAACATTTCTCATTCATCTATTATATTCCAAATGTTTGAATGATATATTACTGCTATGTGTTTACAACTCCATTGCTTTTTACTACTTACCTGTTATTATGTATTTTATTTTTATTTTATTTTAAACTGCCAATGTAAAAAAAAGGCATCGTGCCTACAGTTGTTACCGTAATTGAATAAATGAAATAAATGGAATACATTGCCATTGGCAATAATAGACTTTAAATAGAAGCTACCAAAACACTCATGCCAAATGTCTCAAAACTAGAATGCAAATATTATTTGAATGATTTAGCATAATATTTTGCACTATTTTGATTTTGGAATTATATTTTTAAGCTCATTTTTCTCGACAGTGGCGTAGGCAGGGGGGTTAGGGGGGTGCAAATCGAAAGTTTGTCCCCGGGTAAAAATTGGACCCCCCCCCCCCCCCTTGAGACGATCCTGGCTACGCCACTGTTTCTCGAGATTATTGTTTTTTGGACATAGCCTACTGCATTTGTCTTAAAAATGCGAATGTTTTGCGATTACATTAATAATACAATAGCATTGTTCAAGAATTAAAGCAAATGTAGGGTTTAATGGGTTAGCTTACGACTACTAGATCTAGATCTAGATCTAGATCTAGTCTGAAAGTCTCGAGTTCGGATCCCTGGCTCGAGTTTGTTGGACGTCCCTGAGTCCACACATCTCTTATGGTCAATGCTGAAGGACTCTACGGTATCTGTCCCATGAGTCGGGCACGAACGGAAAAAGCTGATGATGCAAATGAATGTGGTTAAAATGTAGCCTGCGTCAAATACTTAAATAACGATGCGGTTTGTAGTCTCCGTCAATATTTTCGTTGGGCCGAAAATCGTTAAATAATGTTCGCTACTCGGCGAGCCGTTGTGACGATGGCACTTTTCGTTATTTAGCCAACACCACTTGGAGATCTAAATCTAGATCTAGCAGTTAAAAATAGATACGTTACATAGGGTTACACCACGCAGGCTTGAGGTAACATGGTCTAGACTCTAGACTCTAGACTAGATCTAGATTTTTTCTAGATCTAGATCTAGATTCTAATTTTTACTAGATTTAGTTAGTAAGGCTAGAACTAGAATCTAGGCCTACTAACTTTACTAAGTTAAAGTTAGTGGTAATCTTCTATCGTTTTGGGTACGTAAAATCGCCCGCGGCTATTAATGTACGAAAACGTTACTTCATTGTCAAGACTCAAGGCTTTAATAGAAGTTAATTGTCATATATTTGTGTCAAATATTATAGATAAATGAATAATAAACCTAAATCAATGGCTAACTATATCAATATAGTATAGGCCAGAAATTAACTTTAAACACAAACAGCAGTGTCTGAGAGCAAGATTTGCTATCAGCCATTTGTAAAATAGAGTGGCTTCCCCCTGAATCTGCGCTATAAGCTTATAAAAATAAAACTTAAACAAGATGGCTGCTATAGTAAATGAGCATGGTTGCATCTGTTGGAAACATCGCTAGTCTTCATTTATTACGGAAAAGTTTTAATTAAATTGTTTAAAAACGGGTACATAAATGAAACAAGGAAACATTTTTGTATTTTAAAAAACATAAATCCTCCTCAAAATGTGAAATAATTATTAAAATTTAAGGAGTCACCTGTTTTTCACATTACTAGTCGCGGGCGATTTTACGTACCCAAAACGATAGATTACCAAGTTAGTAAATAACTAGAGATCTAGATCTAGAATCTAGTACAGTAGTAGAAATCTAGTAAGTAGGCCTACTAGATTCTAAAATATTAAGAGTAGGCCCAATCAATTTTATCAATATTTCAAATTTGACATTAAAATTATAAAATATTTGCTAGATCTACACATGATGGTAATCTATCATTTTAGCGTAATCAATTCGGCTGCAGTAGATGACATTTTTATTGATTTAGGCTAACCCTTAAATGTGGTTTAATATTCAATTATCTTTAGTATTTTAGTAGAATATGCAAAAATATATTCATATTTAGGCCTAAGCCATATTTATTAGTTACCTTATCCCTACATTACTAGTGACGACGGAATTTAAAACGCTAAAACGATAGATTACCCACATGATAATAACGGGGTCGGCGTGGTCGAGTCGGTAAAGCTCATGGTTGCTACACCAAAAAAGTCTCGAGTTCGAACCCTCGGGCAGATGAGGCTCGTTAGCTGGGGACAGCCACTCTTCTAGGAGAGACAACTCCAAAATTAAACAACTGCTGCCTTGTAGTTTGTTCTTGGTTGGACAAAGGCTATGGAAGCAAATCCAAAAAGAAAAGCAGGCTGAAATCGGAGTCAATGGCCTCAATGGCGCATAACCAGTTGACACGTAACGCTTAACTGTGTTGGAGGCGTGGTCGAGTCGGCAAAAAGCTCATGGTTGATAAATTCGAACAAAGTCTCGTGTTCAAACCCACTGGCAGATAAATCTCGATCCCCTTCAACACTAATAGTTAAGAACAAAGAAGAAGAAGAAGAAGATAAGCTGTTGTTGCTGGCAAAAGCCAGGCAATCAAAAAAAAAAGTTAAAAAGGTAGGCCTAGGCCTATTAGTAATAGGCCTAGGCCTACCTTTTTAACTTTTTAATATTACTATTTTAAATTTTGTTTGTTAGGCCCTTAACATTTATTTAGATCTAGATAGAATCTAGATCTAGTGGCATTTAGATCTAGATTTTAATTAAATCATTTCTGTAAGAGGCTTTGTTTGCTGTTCATGTAGTGTAGCCTAGGCCTATTGACATTATATTTTCCATCCTTCTTTGAAATTTGAATAAATAATTAAATAGATCTAGTACATTGACAAAGTGGGTCTAGCCAAGGTTGATCTAGTCATCAAGTGGTTATCTAAAACTAATCCTAATGATATTAATGTAACAGGCCTAATATTAGTAATATCTGTGGATGTTTTCAGAATGAAGCTGCTGCTGGTACTAGATGATGATGTCACGCAGGAAGATCTGCTGCAGCAGCTGGAACAAAACCTAACTGATGAGGAAGAGGATGATGAGGACGATGATTCATCAACCTTATCTCCGGCTTCCAAAGGTTCCAATGCAGGACTAGGAGTGCGTACTCCAAGAAGAGACACAACTTCTAAATTACTTCCATCTGATTGTAAATATGGGATTTTGAGAAAAATCAATGGTGGGCCAAATAATCAAAGTGAGTTACCATCAAAACAAGACCAAGCCAGTTTTGAAGGTGGTTGTGTCAATCATAAGAAACTCTATGCTAAAAGTATACCTGATGATGCTGACAGTTTACGACAAGTTTTAAAAAGAAAGTTAAAGCCTGAAAGCAAATCAAGTAGTTGTACAGATCTTTTAAATGGGGTTTCTTGCTTGTGCAAGTCGGCTAGTGATTATAGTTTTCAGTCCTCCAAGAATAAAAATATTAAACTATCGACATCCCTTGTGTGTTTACAAAGCAAGAAAAACAATGGTCAAAGCTTGGAGAAATTTCAGCCAAGTTTCAGTACAAAACAAAACAAAAGGAAGCAGGACCCACTAAACACAGGGAGCGTAAAGAAATCAAGACGAGGCAGTGAGCCTGCATGTATTAAGGAAGCTGGAGAATGTTCTGTGGGTGGACAGGACAAGCTAGTGTCAGCGTCTGGTGACTGTGACCTCTACGACCCAAATGAACCTACAAGCCTGGTTGAGGAAAAAGACGGCCCGATTATACCCATACAACTGTTTGATAGTACAGACACAAGTGTTGACAAACAGGAGTTGGCAGTTTACACTAGTCCTTCCAGGTAATAAATTTATTAAAGTAAAGTTCCCTTTTCAAACCTGACGGTCTATAGGACAAGTGGAGTAGAGTTCACCTGTTTCTGTGACCTCGGCATATGAAGAGATAGTGTGGTCAGCCTATGCCCAGCCCACTTTACTTTCCATAACGTGTGTTAGGTACCCATCAGAGTTGGGTGGACGCAGGGACGGTCTACTGATTTGAACCCGGATTCGAACTCGAGACTAACGGGTTAGCAGTCCAGCTCTCTACCTCTAGACCACTCCTTCCCATAATAGATTTACTAATCACTTTATATTTAGCTTGGAATGACTCTTGAAACAAATGTAAAAAAATTCAAGCATTACCAGTCACTACAGTACAACCTAAGGCTAAAATGTTTAAGTTTAATAATTGAAATAAAAGTTAGTTAATTATTAGATAATTTATCCTAGTGCTGATAGTACATAATCACAATTTTTTGAAAACCCAAAACATAAATACTCATTAGTGCTCCATTTAGATGTGATCTACAACTGTAAGCTACAGGTAATTGTGCTGAAGTATGTAATTCACTCCATCTTTTTAAACAATCATGCACATTTTATTAATAGGCTAACTAATGTTTATTAATTAATTAATTTTAGCTCTGTCTTCATACAGTCAACCTACAACGAGGCTAGATGTTTCTTTTTATGTAATAATGAACATTCTGAATGATTTTTTCCTTCGCTTACATTTCCTTTTATTCATAGTAAGAAGTGGATCATACAAAAAGAAAATAGTATTAATCATTGCACATTATTTTTCCTAATTTCTGCAGGAACGTTATATGTCAGCCAAGCTTAGATATACCTGACTTTCTGTATGTGGCAATAGACTGTGAGATGGTTGGAACAGGCTTGAATGGGAGGCATAGCGTTCTAGGTGGGTCTGTGTGTTTTCTAATTAAATACAAGTTTACTATCATGGTGGGGTGATGTGGTGTGGTGTGGCACTCAATTGCTGGCCTGATGGAATCAAGTTTGGTATCAGGAGCGGATGTCTCAGCAGTAAAAAGTACCTGGCACCAGTTGGGGAAGGTAAAGATGGCTGGGTATAGCTCTTAACAAAGTATCAAAGTTAGACCTAAAGGTTGCTATTCTGAAAGTGTAAATGATTTATTTAATTATAAATTAAATGAACTATTAATTTATGCCAAAATTATGTTATATAGTATTAGATCATTGACTTAATCTAGTTGTGTAAAACATCATGGTATTATAACAGGGTGACAGGACAAGTTATCCCAAAAAAATATCCCAGACAAAATATCATGGACAAATGATATAATTGACAAATGATATCAGACAAAATATCCCTCAGTAAAATGTTTTTAGTATTTGGGATTTTTCAGTGAATTTTAATATTTTATTTATTGTCAGATGGATTTTATTTGCTTTTTTACATATTAATTGGAACCAATAACATAAATACTCCACTGAATTGTATTAAAAAAACCTAACAACATTGATATGAACACATTTTCATAGAACTGTATGTGTATGTTACAGCTCGCTGCAGTGTAGTAGACTACAATGGGAAAGTGCTGTATGACCAGTACATCAGGCCTGAGGAAACCATCACAGACTACAGGACAATATGGAGTGGGATACGACCCTCCCACATGAAAACTGCTGTACCCATACAACAAGCCTTACCGGACATCAAGAGAATGCTAGAGGTAGGTAGTACTCTCTTGAAGCTAATGATCATGCTTTCACATGCATGGTTAATTTAGTTTTTTAATTTGAATTCATAGTGCTTAAACCAAGATTTTTATTGAGGCTTTACTAATTTTTACAAGTTTGCTGTTTTTGATCTTTTCCTATAAAAAGATAACTAACAAATCCCTTTTTTACTTTCTCGTATATACGAAGTATAGAGAAAGTCTTGTAATCCTGCAAAAAAAAATTTGAGATTTTTGCATATCTCGACGTTTAGGGTTCCCTGAGTCAGAAAAACATAGTTTTGCAATCTTGTCAGTATGTCTGTGTGTGTGTGTAAATACAATAACCTGGGTACCGTTACAGCTAGGTAGATGAAATTTCATATATAAGTATTATATCAAAATCGTAGATACGTATCAACTTTTGAGCGATTTCCGATAACCGGAAGTGGAACTTTTTCTACTTTCAATTTTTCAAAAGCCTATAACTTGAGTACTATTTCAGATAGATAAATGAAATTTCACATGTATGTAGAAGTTCTAATTCTCTGCCCTCTATCAAATTTTGAGTAGTTTCCGTCAAGCGGGAGTAGTGATTTACGCTATTTCCGATTTCTCAAAAAAACGCATGTGAATTTATAAAGTACTAATAATATCCCGCACTATGCACATTTTATTTGGCGTTCACTTGGTGTGTAATTCTTTTTATTTACGAGATTCTATTCTATTATAAAAAGTTTTAAGTAATTAAAAATTGATTAAAAATATTGTCTATGTCCCGAGTTGCCATTCCCGGTAGTGTTATATTAGGATATTCAAGAAAGTTTAGGAGAGATCACTCCCAGTTTTTTTGGACATAAAACACCATGTCAAAAATATGCTAAAAATGTGTTAGCAACTGTAGTGTAAAATACAATGATCTAAAAGAATTTGATCAAGTCTAATAATGGGCAGTTGTTTTGAAGAAAGATAAACATTTTACATTTTTGAACCATGCTGAAGAAAAGTAATATTTTACTCCTGATATTGAAAACTGTAAGCTACTCATACCTTCATAGGCTAAAATGAATTGATTTTCTAATTAGAAACATTGTTTACTGACCCATTCCTGGCTATTTGTGTAAAGTTTAGTGTGATCATACTCTATGCTCCCAAAGCTTTCAGCTAGTATTTCTGAGTTCGTATTGCCTTTTTACCACTACATTTGATGTAGATTTTTAGTTGTAGTTTCAGATTAGTGAAAATACCATTTTCTTAATGCAACTTTTTCTTTCTGCAGAACAAAGTAATTATAGGACATGCAGTGTATCATGACTTTAAAGTACTTGGCTGGGTGCCACCATATTTTATGGTGCGAGACACATCGACGTGTAAATTGTTGGTAGAGATGGCCAGTCTGCAGGGTCGAGGAAACAGTTTGAAAAAACTCTCAGGGGCACTGTTAGGTATCTCATATTTCTTTTTTGATAGCTCTCTAAATTGGTTGATTAAATGTTAAAACTTCAGGCATAAACATAATAAGGAACACATTAGAAAACAATTATGCAAGTATATTTTTTTATATTTTAAATTTAAATAATTTAAGTGAGGTTTAAAGGGAAAAATGAAGGAGGCCCAAAAAAATTGTCATTTTATTTTAATGCGTTTCTAGCTAGGAAAATATACTATTAAATCAATCCTATGTAATTCAGGATATTAATATTCTCTAAGTATTTTAAAAACATTTTTATTTGTTAGTTGTGTATGACAGAAACATAACCAAAAGCTGAAAAAAATCCCTTTTTATATCAATTTTGGTCATAGCAGTTTTGACCATGTGGTATTAAATGAGACCCCATTCAAATCTGCATCTCACTGACCTACTTGTGAACTTTTTAATTGGTAAAAGTCTAATTTGAGTAACATTTTACCCACAATGCATTGCTTTTCCATATGGCAATTGTTTACTCATGAGATTATAGAAGTTGTCCAGTTTCATTCGATCAGCTCTACATCTCGTTTTTTGAGTATTTCTTCGCCTATTTTATAAAATTTGAGACAAAAACAATATTTTGAAGGTACGTAAAACTGTTAATTATTTTTTTAACTTTAATTTCTACCAGGCTCTCCTATTTAGATTCAAAAGAAATCCTGTAATTATTGTTATTGTCATATCTAGATTATTCTACTAATTTAAATGTAGGCTTACTCTTTAATGTTTTGTCAAAAGGAATGTAGAATGTAGTAGATCTACGGCACAGCTATTGTTACTTATTAGATCTAGACTCTATAGTTTATGTTTTATTCATGATCTAGCTTTGTTTTAGTTTATTTTAATTTATCCTTTTTTAAAAATTTCAGATGCCTAAAAAGACCACAACATCAAGCATGAGGAAAAACATTGCCAACATGAATGTCGCTCTGCCACAGAAAGTGAAGGAGGGGTCACTAAACATCCTGCCTCTAGTGTGGCTCCACTTTCACCAGTCACTCCAAACATTTCATCTACACCACAAGCATTGAACATGTCTTCTCATGACGCAAACTTACATGTAAAGGCACTTACTGTATAGTCAGCTCTACCCACAGCTAATGTTGATTTGAATTGCCTTCAAGTTCTAGTACAGGGCGTTGTGTGCTCAGATTGTGGCAGCAGTGACCTCAAGCTGCAGTGCTATGCAGATCATATTCAAGGACTGGCAGTACCAGTAAACTTTACTATGGGCAGTGTGAAAGCATTAGGTCACAATCCCACACCTCATAGAAGTGTTCCACGAAAGTGTGTCAGTAAAACATTGTGTTGGCATCTTTGTATGCATGCATGGGATGCTCACACTTGGCTAAATTTTCTGAGGTCATGGGACTGGAAATGCTGACCTGCCACGCATACAATGACCATGTCAAACAGATAGAAAAGGCCAAGACTGTAGAGCTCAATTCAGTTTTCAATGAGTCTGTAGAGAAATTCAAAGTAACATGAAAGTGAAAACCCACACAATGTAGCTGTCAGTTATAATAGCACATGGGCCAAGTGAGGACACACCTCAAAGCTGGGTCTTAGTGTTGTCATGGATGTTAAAGATACGCTTTCAATTGACTCGCGTGTTATGTCAACTTATTGCCCGGTATGTATTATGAGTGAAAGAGGAGAATTTAAAAAAAAAAAATGTCCTTGTTTAATTACTGTTAAGATTCAATATTCTAAATTCATTTTATTCTATCAAATCAGCAATGTGCAACAGTGGTTGATAACCTGAAGAAATCTGACACAGAGGCACATTCTACTTGGTAAGAGGGAAACAAGTCAAAGTGCTCCAGAAATGTCTGTGGTTCTTCTGGCGCCATGGAAGTTGGAGCTGCTAAGAAGATGTGAGGCAGATCAGAGGCTCAGCACCAGCTCAGATACACAACAATTTGTCTGATGGTGACACAAAAACGTATTCTGCTCTGCTTGAGAGCATACCATATGGGCATATGATCGAGAAACAAGAATGTATAAATCATGTGGCCCAGAGGCTCTACAACCTGGTAAATACAGAAAAATACAGAGAGTTGTTAGATTAGGAGGAGCTGGCCTTGGTAACCTGACACAAGTAATAACTACAGGAAATACAGTTGTACACCCAAACATCATAAGTGCCCAGCGGGCGATGACTCTTGGTGCTTCTATCGGAAGGCCATGGCTTGAGGTTTGTCTGTGCCTTCTCGCAAAGGTAGGCTGACAACCTTAACGACAAGGTTGCACCTTATGTCAAAACAAGCTATAAAAAATTGACTGAGCCAGTCTCTTGAATAAGAGAGCCTTCATGGCATGATCTGGAGTCGCTGCTACAAGCATCTCTTTTCTGGTCTATTAAGAGTTACATTAGCCACTGCTTTCATCACTGGGGAGTTCAATCAGGGCTCTGCTGCAACCCATAGATTTCTAACAGCAGTGGGTTGCAGCTTGTCTCAGCAAGGTGCCAGATTGGGCAGTTATTGGACCAACTGTACAATGAAAAAAGAGTAAAAAAGATTTGGCTATTGAGTGTACTAACAAAAAGAGGAGGATAGCCAGACAACTGGCACAAACAAAAGACAATAAGTTCAAACAGGTGGAAGAGGGAGTGACCTCTTATATTGCAGGGTTATTGATTAATTTGATATTTTTTTCCTATCAATATTTTTTTAATGTATTAATTTCTAAATGCTTGCTTATTTGTATGTTCCCTTTCAACATGTATGTTTTAAAACAATGTTATTGCATCTTTCATTCAAAATATTTATTGTTCCTGAAAAGTTTTTTTTTTTTTTGGAATTTTTACTTTTTTTTCCCTTTCAGGAAGCCATGGTTTAAAATTGTAAATTTTACCATTATAAATTGATTTAATTTACTTATTGATCTCTATTTATTGTCAGATGGTTGTCATTGATGAGAAATTTAATTAGCAAATTCTTGTTGTTGAAAATTAAAATAAAATTATATTCTGACTCATTTTGCGTCATTCTGTTACACATATTTTACTAATTTTAAAATAATGTTCCCAATATTCAGATAATTCAAGAAAAGTCATTTTGGGATTTTTGTTACTTAACAAATTTGTCTCACTGTTAGTTGTTGAGCACTACCCAACCATGCCATCTCAAACTCTTAGATATTTCCAGTTAGCTGTTTTTTGGAAATGTGTCACACAGTTTCTTTCAGACATTTTTCTGGGGTACTACTGGTACTTGAAGTACTTAAATATACGGGTTGAGGGGTGGGGGTGGCTGACACTGTTAAAGCATATGTATTCCATATAAAATATTTTTCTATTTCAATTCGTCCCCCCTCCCCCCACCCAAAAAAACCAATACCTATGGTGTCAACCCCCCCCCCCCTTTCACCTAATTATATTTTATTTAAAATATTAAAATTAAATTGTGCTTTACCAAATAATTTCAGACAGACACATCCAAAAGAATAGGAAAGGCCATTGTTCTGTAGAGGACAGCCGGGCGACCCTTGACCTTTTTAAACTAGTCCGCCATGAGTGGGAGAAAGAGCTGGTTGCCAAGTGGTTGAAGAAGGATGAGAATATCGTGGGGTTGATTAACTCCATGGTGGAGAGCGCTGTCAGCAAAGGGGCAGTAAATCTGACTGAAGACTTTTTACACGACAAGTTCTGGCCTGACCAGATTGAATGAGAGTCTTGAGTGTAAGAAACTTGGATTTGTATATAGGTTTTAATGAACTTGTTCTGGCCTGAGAAGATTGAATGAGAGTCTTGAGTGTGGGAATTCGGATTTGTGTACAGGTTTTAATGAATATGTTCTGGCCTGAACAGATTGAATGAGAGTCTTGAGTGTAGGAGACTTGGGTTTGTATACAGGTTTTAATGGACAAGTTCTGGCCTGAACAGATTGAATAAGAGTTTTAGTGTGGGAATTTGGATTTGTATATAGGTTTTAATGAACTTGTTCTAGCCTGAACAGATTGAATATAAATCAGTGTAGGAGACTTTGATTTGTATACAGGTTTTTATGAACAAGTTCTGGCCTGAACAGATTAAATGAGTATGTAGGAGACTTTGATTTGTGTACAGGTTTTAATGGACATGTTGGTTTACAGCCAAGTACTCTCTGTGATTTAGGTTATGTGCACCATTAGTAAATAATTTGCTAACATATAACTTGACTTTTTGTAGTATATGATATATTTATCAGATGTTAAGTGAATGCTGTATACTTGTATACAACTGTGGTCTTATTTGACTTTAAACATGCTTGTGGACATCAGACTGAGACATATAATTTATGTCAAAAATTAAGATAGTCGAGAATTATGATGAAACCAGTGAAATAATAAATTTGAAATTATTTATTCATGTGTTTGTATACTTTTTTTTTTAATCAATCGCATTTGTTCCTGACATGTAATACACTAACATCAGCAGCATTAATACTTTTATGTTGTGGTATGAGTTTTGTGAAAGATATTATTAACCGTAAATTATTTGATTGTGGTTATACTACCTAATCTTTTTTGTTTTAACCTTAGTGTATTCCCAATCATCTGAAGAAGTCTTTTTTTTTTCAACTGATCAAATCTCCTTGGCTTGTTTCAAACTGATTTCTTTTTAGTACTTTAACTGTGATTGGTAGCGGCATTATGTGTATTTCACCTTTTTTTTTTTCAACATTAAATATCTGTAAATACACAATTCTTATCCTACTGGAAAATTCAAATTAGTCCTAAATCTGCTCACAAACATCTACATCCAGACCATTTTTGTGTAGATTTAGTCCAGTGATAGTCAGGCTGGTAAAGCTCATGGATGCTAAACCAAAAAGTCCAGAGTTTAAACCCTGGAGCAGATGGGACTTGATAGCTGGGGACAGCAACACAAGTAGGAGAAAAACAAAATAACCAAAATCAAACCACTGCTGTCTCTCAGAATTTTATTGGATGGCAAAGCATATGGAAGCACACCCAGAAAGAAAGATGGGCTGAAATCAAAGCCAACAAGCGATGAGGCGCAAACATGTTGGCACATAATATAATTAGTTATATTCAAGGGAATACTTTCCAACATTATAATTATAAACGATGTAAAAAGAAAGTCCAGTGATGATGGAAAGATAAACAGGTCATGTATGGTGCTATTATTAGTTTCAATGGAGGTCATCAAGGTAAAGTGCCAAACATGAAATTCTGACAACCTAAATGAGGTCATCTTCTTACATGTCAGTCTTAAACAGTTTTTGAAATGAAGAATGAGTTTTTTTTATAATTCAAAATTATTTGTAAACAATGAAGACAACTTGTAATTAATAATATGCAAAAATAGAGTAAAAATTAAAACGCAAGATACAAAAAAAAAAAAAATAATTTTAGACTATTTTTAGACCATTTAACAATTGGATTGACCTAAAATTTCAACATTTTAGTATTGGGCAGGGTAATTATTTTTAGTTAAACTATTGGCCTTGGTTGTTGAACTGATGGTTGCTTAGGTCCATAACAATTACACGGCCTAACACTTCAATACTGAATTCCTTTTTACCTTTGTCTATTGCAAACCCGAAAGACTGGTTCAGATCTTGGAATCGAATCAATAGGATGTCCCAGAGTCCACACAGCTGTGAACAGAGGCGTAGCGGACCGCACCGGGTGACAACATTTAGGGGGGTGACACCAAGGCAAAAAATAGCAAAATATATAGAGAAAAATTTGAGGGGGGTGCAAATCGAAAGTTTGAGGGGGTGGGAGGTGCAAATCGAAAATTGAAAGTTTGTCCCCGGGAAGGGTCGCTACGCCTCTGGGGGGTGACACCATTAAGTGCCGCACCGGGTGACACCCGACCTCGTTACGCCACTGGCTGTTAGGAGTACCTGACACTTTAGCCAGTTTGAGGAAGTAAAGGCTGAGCGTGGAACCGACCTTTTATTCTTTCATATGTCGAGGTCACTGCCCCAGCAATCGCCAGTTCTGAAAGTACAATTCAGTATTTTTTTGGGATGATGTAGCGTGTCGACCCTGCGTGATGTTTAGGTATTCACTTGTTCACTCACATGTAATCTACCCCGCTAAAGTTATACAGCGTGTTCGATCCACTATGTGTGTGTAGCGTGAAGGTGCAGCCCAGCCTGTACACATACGCACCGCTACTCCCTGGGCATGAACACGCTGTGTACGTGTACCTAGTGTTGTCGTACTTCAGCATCTGCTTGTGTACCCAGCGACCGATGGAGATACGCTTAGCACAGCCGTGCGGATGTGACACAAGGACCACTAGTTTGTTTACATCGTCGGTTGCTTCGTACTTCGCGTTTAACTTTTTTAGTTTCTCACGCCAGCGAGCATACATGGCGTCCAATCGTCCAATCAGCTGCTCGTCGTGTGTCACGTGGGATAAGCTGCACCAATCGCCGTCCGTGTCGGGGTTATTTATAGTCCAGCCTTCCAGCGTCACCACGTCGCTTTGCTCGTCGTCGTACCAAAACCGGATGCTCGTGTTGTCCGCTTCCTTCTGGTCAAACACGACGTGCCGTGCCGTGATGACGTCAACTTGACCCCAGACTCTACACGGCTGACCCGACTCTTTGCACTCCTCACAGTGGCACGGCAACATCTCATCGTCGTATTTCGTCGCGTCTTCAATCCGGCCACTTCCGGTCATCATCACATCTTGACCCCTGAACTCGGAAAAAGGGTACGGGGTATCGGAATCCGGTATGACGTCAGGCCTGTCCTTGCTGACCCCAGCCACGCACACCCGGACAGTGATGTCAGCTAGAGCCTGCACGAACTTGAAAATACTCTTCTCTCGGAGGTCCGCAGGCAGGTGGTCGATGGTGAAGTCTTGAACTGGAATAAACCCGGTGTGGCCGGGGTTTTTCTTACAGTTGACCATGTGCGCTGGTGGGTTTGATTCCATCTTACCAGGCTCAAACCCTTCGACCTCGTGCGTACCTTTTGAGAGTACAAATAATATTATAGGCTGATGTGTCTCGCTTCCCCCCCCCCCCCCCCCCCCCCCCACCCCAAGAAAGTCTACCCACCCCGATCGAAACAGAATTTATATAGAGAAACTAATACTTTTACCAGGGTCACCCCCCCCCCCCTTTAAGAGGAAAAGCGTGAAAGAAACTGGTGGAAATTAAGTGGAAAATGATGTATTTTCACTACAAATTATTATTATCTCTTCGTTCAGGGGGGCGGGGAGGTGAACGTGATTCGGGGGGTTGGGCAGAGTCTCTCTCTCCCCCCCCCCCCCGTTCACACGAATATATGCCCGAAAGAAACTGGCTACATTTTATTCCAGATGAGCTAAATACAGCCATTTTTTTGGTTGGTTAGATGAGAAGTGTTATGTGTGTGTTTAGCAAGACAGCTTTGTGTCTGTATGTTTGTTAGTCATCCAGTGCGGCAGTGGTGGTACGTCGGATAGGCGGATGGTTCAGTGGCCTGCGTACAAATTGTACACTTAGATGGCTCTTCTTCTACGCTCATGTATTGGATTAGCCAAACATGTCGTAATATCAAAGCTTAGCACAAATTCTCTGTTGAGGGGGTCGTTTATAAATGACGTCGCAATCGTAGGAGGGAGGGGGGGGGTCAATTTTGTGACGATGTGTGTTTGCGGTGAGGGGAGTGTTTAGATAGTGTGTTGTCACACTTTTGCATTTTAAAAAAGTAGTGTTAGAAACTACATTTTAGCGATCATTTTGTGTTTTAGAAAATTATTTAGAAATTAATTAAAATACCCGATATTTGACCGAGATCTGTCAATATTTTAGAACAAAAATGATCTTTAAAAAAAGAAAACACACATAAAAATGCAATTTTGAGAGGAAGGGGAGGGGGGGGGGGGTGTTGTAGGCTGAGGTGTGATGTCATTTTAGGGTAGGATCTGTCTTTTCGGGACGATGTGTGACGGGGTGAGGGAGGGGGGGGTATAAATATGGTCGAAAAATCTTGACGTTATCTATGGATGATCCCTAAGTAATTGACCCCTTTTGCAATGCTACTATTTTCCATATTTAATTCTCAACCTAAGAATTTTTGCCTTAATGAAGTTAGCTGAGTTGTAGTGTCGATTAACGTACTATTTTTCATTCACAAAAAAAAAATCGATATTGCACAAGAGGACAAAACTAATAGACCTTCTCGTTACAAACATGGCTTACACGTATCATGCCGGTGTATTTTGTATGCTTTAAGCATAATGGTCTTGTTAACTACATGGTCTATGTGTATGGTATGCATATAAATATTAGCCTACGTTATTTTAATGAAAAACCAAACAAACAAATGCTTTAAAAATCGATTAGGCCTGCACTATGCAATAATACGAAGTGGTTTAGATACGTGTAAGTGTTTTTGAAATAGAGGATATTGATTTTTATTATGCCATAATTATGGGCATACTACAGGAGTATAATAAAGCTATACAAATACATATATCTATAATGCCATGGAAGGTGAATCAAAAAGCACACACCAGTAACCCTTACCCTTAAAATACACAGAAATATCCTCGGTGGGAGAATTAATGTTGTGTGTCTCCATGATGCTTTATAACACGAATAATCATAAACACAAACGTACACGCTAACAACTAATATGTGAGTTCAGCCATGTAAACGTGGTGGTGGTGGTGTGCTATTTTTAGACGAATGGCTTGTTGTTTACTGCTAGACGCTCAGGTCACATGACCTGCTGTGTTAGCGCAGTAGCTGTGTAGCACGAAATGACGTCACTGGTGTGGAGGACAAGGGAGGGAGAGGGATTATCGAATAGATAAGACTAAATGAGAACACGGTTCTAGGCCAGCGCAAAGATAGATCGATACGAGAGAACCTTGCTGTGAAAGCGTAGTTTATGTGATTATGTAATTATAAAAATATTATGTATGCTTCTCCGTTAGCAGAACTAGATGCTAAAGTGTTGGGAAACACTGTAGAGCAACGGTTTATTAACAGTGTTTCTTCCAGACTTTTTTCTCCGGGGGGGCACTTGAAATTTTCGGGGGGGGGGGGGCGGTAGACTTTCTTCGGGGGGGGGGGGGGGCGGACACTGTTAAAAGTATATATTTTCTATATAAATTATATAAATTTCATTTCGTTCGGGGGGGGGGGGGGGGGGGGGGGGCAAAGCCCCCTCGAAGAGATGCCTGGAAGAAACTCTGTTTATTAATAGCTTATTACGAGTTGAGATTATTGCGTTAAGCTAGTTTCCTGCTCGGAATCGATATGCTTGAAATAGAAACTAACGGGGACTATCCGATGGTAAAGTGACTAGTGTATAGTTAAAGAGAAGTTGCTATTTGTTTTCATATGTATATTTGCATTTTATTTCTGCAAGTCTTGTGCTTTGATCTCGGTCTGGGCACGGGACTGTAGTGTAGAGCCCCCCCCCCCCCCCCCCCCGGAGAAAAAAGTCTGGAAGAAACACTGCCGTAGTGTAGGAGGTCTCTGGGTTTACCCAGCTCTAATGGGTACCAGACTCACGTTAGGAAAAGAAAAGGCGGCTGGGCATAATGCTGACTACACCATCCCTTCATACGCCAAGAAACATAAGAACTCTACGTCATCTGCCTCATGGATTTTAAAGTCTTAATGAGAAGCTTTACTAGTATTTGCATTTATTTATTAATCTATTTATTTGCGAATCTGCGTCTACGCGTTTGATGTAATAATACAACCTTGGCTTTCTTCACCGTCCAGCTTTGTTTTAAACCTGTAATCACGTCGACCACTTGCCACTACAAATAACATTACACACATTACGTGTTACACATTTATCTTTAGTTAGGTTTTTGTTGTATGCCGTGCTTTAGTTCAATTCTCCAATGTTTATTTAAAACATGCATCATTTACCATTAGACGTGACGAAACGTTTCGCTTCATGTACTAGATCTAGATCTACCAGTATCACCTTAACACCACCCATCTGTTTCATACATCTAAGTGGTGGTTAACTTGCTTCACGTTGTTGGGCAAAGCAAAGATTTTATTCAAACTACTCGGTTGTACACATTTACGGTTTTAATGTGCAGGCCTGTACTGTTTTCTTCTAATAGAAGACACGACACGTTCATACAGTAAAACTAAAAACTTACCTCATTGTTTACTCGATTTTAGTTTATTATAAAAATGAAATTCTACAGGAGCAGACAATTGTTGTTATTGATAAGTCTACAAAAAGGTTGAGTGAGATTTTAAAAACATACTTGTGTATGTTTACATAACAGTAAGAGTTGGGACTGCACTTACAGAGGTTTTTTTTCAGTCTTCGTGAAAGCTCAAATCTACCAATGAATATAATTATAATTAAATATTAACATTTCCTAACCTACGCTAATCGTAGTATGTGACCCAAAAGCAGTATCATACTTTGTTAAGACTAGATATTATAACACGTTTTAGTAGCAATAACATTTTTGTATTTTAATGTTTGCCTCGGTTTACGTCGATTGCTTTGGGTTTTTCAAACTATTAGGAAACAGACGGTGAAATTACAAAAGAGGAAGTTATGGCCAAGATGTGTGTATGAGTGATGTACTGAAATATTTCATTGTTCACCAAGTGACTGCCGTACGTGGGTAGCAGGCTACAGTTTATTAGGATATATCAATTGGTTAGGAAGAGAGCGATAAAACGCAAGTTCAGCCTCGCCAATGAACGTACATCTGCCTATAAGGAGTAATGGGAAAAGGTAAGAGAAAAAGGACATGCCATATACACTAAGATACATGACTTGTTGCCGACTAGTTTTGTTGCAATATTTTTTTCTGATGTCTTGTCCGATTGTATCAATTATAAGATCGAAGAGATTTCCTATATGGACACTTTTCTTGTGCATTATATAGTCTAGGATTAGTTCTAATGTGAACTCTACCAGCAGGAATTCAAACAATGATTTTGTATTTATTAGTTAGTAATACATTTCCCAATGCCAACATTAGTATTCATCACCAAGTTTCTTTTCACATTTTTAATTAAATTAAGCTTAAAATTTTGCCAATTATTTCCATACGTATACAAATATTTCACTGAGCTATATTCAAGATAATAAATCAGACAAAAAACAAAAAATCAGACTAATCTAGCGCGTATAGATATTTCACCATATAGCTACCAATTTTAACTCTAGTTTTTTTTAACAAAAAAGTTGTAGACTATACTTATTAGTGTCCAGTACAACATGTTCCAGATAGCAATATTTGAACTAACATACAACATTCATTCTATAGCAACACAACACGAGTATTTATTCAATTTTAGTTTACTGTCGAAATGAATTTCCAGAAATGTGTACAAAATAAAAATACACAGTTTACAAAAAAGAAATGGTTTTACAATAAAAAAATACTTACTGCAAATTTTAATTTAAAAAAAACTGAATTTTATTTATTTCTAAAAATATTGTTGTTGAGTGAAAGCTATAAAATAAAATAAAACATTTTAATTAAATATTTTTAAAATTTTCTTTTTAGAGGTTGTCTTGTTTAAGATGCCTCCTATACGGGCAACTTTAAGGAGATGTTTTCTACCTAGAATGTAACAATAAACCCAACACATATAGCTTTTTATGTTTAATCCAGTGACCAGATTATGATAGATTTTTAAAATATATTCAAACAGAATTTTAATCTTCGAAATATTGTATTTGAACAAAAATGTTCTTTCCATTAATAATAACCAAAAATGTGCAGTTCTTAATAAATATTTTGTAATATTTTTCGCATTTCTAGTACTTTTACATTGTGTCTATTGGGTTTGCTATATTAGCATGGTAACAATCTCAGAGCCCCTGTTACGATTTTATTCTTAAAAGTGTTATAAATTAATGGCAAATCGTTTGAAGTAAACTGATTAATAAATTATATTTTCTGAAAATAGCAATAAAGATATGATTAACTACTATAAAGATCACGACTAAGGAAAAAACAAACAAAAAAAAAAAAAAAAACGTTAATAAACCATTCCTGAATGAAATAGAAAGAATTTCTAAAAATTAAGACAGTATATGAGAAACATTTTTTACAGAATACAATAATTTTTAAAACATTTTTGCACATGAAACTCAAATTTTCTCTACGATACTGAGTAGTACGTTAATAAAAATTTTAAAATATTTTAAAAAAAGTCATTTTAAACACTAAAGAGTATACATTTGCAAAAATGCATTTGAATAGTAAACTAAAATTGAATAGTTAATTTTTTTGTAAATAAACATTTTTCGTTTTTTTTTCATTTTTAATGGCTCTTGTGTAGCTGTATTGAAATATGGCTTTTATTTCAGAATTTGAAAAGAAACAGTTATGTAATTAAATGTCCTTTGTACACATTTTATTTAATTTTAAGTTCAGTTTTTAAATAATTTTTAAGCAATCGTTGCTCTTATTAGAGTGAATTATAATTAACGAAATTTATTTAAATATTTAGATTATGAATTTTTAAAGAGTTTGAACTAAATCGTTAAAGCACGTGATTCACATATACACGTTTAGTTATTATAATTTTTAAAAGGTGCCATCTACTTCTTGTTTTCTTTTTATGAGATATTACGGTCATTTTAATAGATTACGATAAACAAAGTTTAAAAAAATATTTCGTTTCTAAAATATGGGTTTTAAAAAGAGGAACTCATTAATAACTTGACACGATCGTAAATAAAACATGCCTACATGATTTCTTTAAAAAATGACTAATTTCTTAGCTTCTTATTTTGTTTGAATAATCGAGTTTAAATTGCAACACAGAGCTCTTAAATTATTGTTCTTTCTACATATTATAACAATATCATTAATACCATGCAACTTTTTTTTATAGGACCTTTGCTTTTTCAGGCGTGGTCAACTGAGCGGGAGATCTTCCCCGTAGTTCACCTTTTAGAGCTGTGTAGCATCTACACAGAGTTGGATAATTCAGTTGTCCTTTCTTAGGTCGCCGCTACCGCATAGTCCTTAATGTGGTTGCTACAAAAAACAACATACAATCGAATCGTTTGTGTAAGCATATTTGTTAGTACGTTATCTAAAAGCCAATTACAAAGAAAAATATATTTAAAAAAACTTATTTAATTCCATTTATTTATTTCAATACTAATAGTTTCTTAATTTCAATTGTTAGCTCCGAATGTTTTCTACAACTTAAGAATCATTAAATGCAACAAATCGAACTGTATAAACACAGGCATGCATTTATTTTTAAATATTCCAGTGTAATCATTAAACGTCATTGCGCTCATGGAATGCGATTTACATGTAATTAGCCAATTAAACAGCAATTAGCCGCTAGAACACTATCACGAAAAATGGTTAACAATGCACTATAGAGCAGTAAGCTAATATTTTGTAATTGCTAGAGATGTTTAAAAAATCGAAGAAAACAAAACAACATACAAATAAAATGTGCCGGTAAATAAAAGTAAATTTAAAAAGTTTCAAATCAATTGTACTTTTAAATGATGCGCGGACCTTTGACCACAGGTGCTTTGACCATAGGGGGTTTGACCATAGGGGGTTTGACCACAGCGGAGCTTTGACCATAGGGGCTTTGACCATAGGGGGTTTGACCACAGCGGGCCTTTGACCATAGCGGTGCTTTGACCATAGGTGCTTTGACCATAGGGGGTTTGACCATAGGGGGTTTGACCACAGGTGTTTTCTCAGCAGAGGGTCTTTGATCACAGGTGGTCTATCAACTGGTGTTTGATCACAAGCACTGTGTCCGGCTTTGATCATAGGTGTTTTGTCCACATAGGGTCTTTGATCTCAGGTGTTTTGTCCACATAGGGTCTTTGATCTCAGGTGGTTTGTCCAATGCTGTCCATATATGGTAAGGATTTATTTTAAAAGTTGCTAAATTATATTTTAAATTTCGACATGATGTAATAATATGGTCAAACAGATGTACTGACATATTTGCGTGCTATAGCACATCTGTCATTTAGTTAACCATTTTATGTATTACATCTTTGACTATATTGTTGGCAAGTTTTGTATCATTTTTTATCCTTTATATATGCTATGTATTTTCAAGTACTTCTACATTATTTATTTGTGAAACTTGTTATATGTCGCATTATTTGTGTTTCATTTATATTTAAAATAAATCTATGAGGTCTAGCGCCAGCCTTTAAGGCCCGCTGTGGTCAAACCCCCTATGGTCAAAGCCCCTATGGTCAAAGCTCCGCTGTGGTCAAACCCCCTATGGTCAAACCCCCTATGGTCAAAGCACCTGTGGTCAAAGGTCCTAGGACCTTTTAAATTTACAGTTTTTATTATTTAAATTATAGAATTTCATTGTATTGTTTAGAAACTGTTCTGAAATGACGACTTATAAAAACAAAATACACCATTAATTCGAACAACTTACCTGTGTGCCAAATGCGATTTCCAGTGTTTTATTCTTTTCCTAGGCGAATTAAACGTCGTTTTCGTGTTTGCCTTTTTACTGTGTGACTGCTGCTGATCGTGACGAATCCTATACACAAAATGTATATTCATAAACTTGGTTAGAAACAGCTGAATAACATTTACTCTCAAAATAGTGTGCGATTTTTAGTATTCTATGTGTTTAACGATGTCTTACCTTTCTGTGGAGATTTCGCATATCGACAATACTTCTACAGTCCCAGTCAAGCAGATTCTAGCTCTTGTTTTTTTGAACATATCTCTTACGAAGATGTGATTTTGTTTCTCTCTTTTTTGTTTACACGATTCTTAACAATAATAGTAAATATTATAATAACGAATGATCATATTATACACATTAAGGTTGTTTGGGAAGTTCTATTAAATAATAAAACAAGCAAACATATTGGCAGATAAATGCAATCCCCTCCCTCAAGATTTCGGTTTGCTACCCCCCCCCCCCTCAAACTTTCAATTTATTTTTCCAACCCATTTAGGCGCCGCCTAAGGTCGGCCCCCGCCCCCCCCCCTATCTACGCCTCTGATCGTATGTTCCCATACTGAATCTTCCGTTAGATTCAATCCACACAGATATACATAAACACATTTTCAAATACTGCCAAAGTGGACAGTTAAGAAGTACAATTCACTCCTTTGGTAAAACACATTGCTAAAGAAATAAATATATGGATTGTTACATTACACAAATTATTAGGTCTATTATTGGTAAGGATATTTGATGCAAAGTTTTGTATATATTATTATTAAGTTATTTATCTAAAGCACATATGATGTAACCATAAATATCATATACATTATCAGTTACGTTTCTAACAATTCTCATAGGAAAAAGACTTTTTGGAAAATGTGAGAACACTACTAAGTTAAGAAAAAAAAAGAATTGAGAATTAAATACTGGAATTGAGGTCTAATCCTATAACCACGCGAAACAGAAATATACAGCATAGCTACTTCTTCTTCGTTCTCAATTTTAGTGTTAGAAGGGATTCCCTCCAACACAATTAAGTATACATGTCAACTGGTTATGTGCCATTGACCGCGATTTCAATTACAGCCTGCTTTTATTTTTTGATTTGCTTCCATAGCCTTTGTCCAACCAAGAACAAACTACAAGGCAGCAGTTGTGGCTGTCCCCAGTTAACGAGCCTTCTCTGTCCGAGGGTTCGAACTCGAGACTTCTTCGGTAAGCAACCATGAGCGTAACGACTCGACCACGCCGACCCCAGTATCACTACAATAACGAGGTTCTTGCCTGAGCGGTTATTTACGTAATGTATTGTATAAAGAAAAACAGCATGAGTGAACTCCCCCAAACTCTCTCAAATTTTCTTAAATAATCTTACATAATAATTCCTGGGAATTTTAAGACAAGTGAAATAGGGGAGATAATCACTCTCTTAATACTTAATATAAATATGTATATATCTACAAATTTGATTATAAATGTCAAAAAAAAAAAATAATTACTTTAGAATATAATGAAATTGTTTAACATTATTTGTGTTTACAAAATGTTTTGTCTATAATCAAAATTTAATATATCGTCATCATAAATGCTAAAGTAATACAGCATAATGAAAGATTTTAAAATCAGAGTTGGTATAAAAGCTCGTTGTTCTATACAAATGAACCACATTCGGAATAACAGCCTACATATAACTAAATATAGGTCTTTTAGTTCAGATCATATATTTTTAATTAACTACTGCTTCTTTGTGTTCTTTAAAGATCATTTTTTAACATCGTGATAGGTATGGGTTGGATCACTGTATTGATCACACACCTTTTTACTGGTAATTGCAAAAACAATATTCACAGAGTTTTACGTTTAAAAAGCTAATTTTCTGGCGGCATTGTACTTTGGTACATCATTACGCGTTTTTCTACAAGTACTTAACGGATCAGTTCGGGGGTGGGTTGGGGGGGGGGTTCAACTTCATTCACCACTGTCCGGTCACTTTAGGTCAATTATCCAACCCAGTGTATACCTAGGTGTGACATTAATGTCGCTTTACACAATTGTGGTGGTGAGGTGGGGTTGAAACTGTTTCATATAATTTGTAATCGTAATCACTACTACTTCATCGTGATGAAGTTGTTGACCTTGTCAACATTTCCCCACCGCTACGCAGTTTGCTCATAGGTAGATTTAAATAGAGGTGCAACATCTGTTGTATTTGTTTCTGTATTGTAATTTTTTTAAATTAATCACACGATTCAAACTTTATATATAAAGTAATTATGTGTGAAGTTTTATTAAGAATACGAATCAACATATTGTTTTCGATACATTGTAATGATATCATTCAGAATAATTGCGCCCATATTGATTTTTACAAATAGGAGGAGCATGCTTTAAGTAGTGTTAAAGTTAAAGTTTTTAACTCTGAGTAGAGCTTTCTTTAAAGTAATTGGGAGCACATGCAGAGCCAGTTTTATTTCAGTTAATAGTAGAGCTATCTATAGAGTTATTGAACCCATAATGATGTAATGAAATGTGGGGATGCGGTGTGGGTTTTTAGGCTATGGAAGCCGTTAGTGGAACTAGACAGACGTACTTGGGTGTTAAATTAGTGAAAACGCGTCCAAGCCTAGGGAGGGTCTGACATAGCATAGTGGATTTTTAAACACAATCCGATGTAGAAATGTTTTTTTAAGCTGGCAGCTTTAGGGGTCATCCATTTATGACGTCCACACGGGGGGGGGGGGGGGGGGTCCGTAAAAAATTGACTTTTGTGGACGCGTGTGGACAGGGGGAGGGGGGTTGGCCCAATGTGGACGTCCACACATTAAATCTAACATTATTTTTGGTAGTGTGAAAGAAAAATATTTCCTAGCGAAGCTAAAGTTCAACTATCCTATCTCTCTGGCCCTTTAACCACCCAGCTTGGGCCTATGCCCTGGCTTAACCTGGAATACAATAAGATATCCAATTACAAGTGTCCCCACATTTGCATCCCAGGTCAAATACCAGGCGACCACTTCTCTAGGTAGGCGGGGTCATCCCAGTTCAGTTGTGAGACGGGAGAGGGGTGGAGGGGGGGGGGTTAGCACGCTGTCCCTGTTCAGGTGTGGGACACGAAGGACAATAAAACACATTTGTACCAGTATTTGTAATACTATATACACTCAGAGTATATACACACTTAATGCAGTAGCTTGAGTAATAGTGGAAGAAGATTATGCAAAAACTTATAGTCAGTGTGGACGTCCACGGGATGGGGGGGGGGGGGCGTCAAAAGTGGACGTTTGTGGACAGGGAAGAGAGGGGGGGGGGGGTCCAAAATCCAAAAAATGTGTGGACGTCATAAACGGATGACCCCTTAGCCAACCAAGGTACACTTCTGTTATATTCAAGGTTAAGATAGTTTGAGAGTATCTAGCTAGCATCACCTTTCTCTTTAAAGAGTTGACGTTTTGACCAAGTGGTTTAGAGAGAAAAATCTGAAACATCTCTAGTTCAATGCACACTCTCACCTGTATTAGTTACACTATAGGAATTCCTAAACAGGCCAAGAGAGAAACATCCCATTAATAAAGGCGTATCTGACGCCCTAATTGCAGACACGGACAGCGTTTTTGTCCCTGCGGTCCCGGGTAGTAATACAATACCGGATGAGACTCTTTTGTAGTGCATCACAGCCCCCCACCCTCCCCACCACGACCCGTCCCGCAATTGTCTCCCCCCCCCTTCTCCCAAGTTCCAACCATTCATTCCATTTGGATTTAGCTGGCTGTAGTCAACGTTTTCATCTCAATTAAGACAAGTACATTTTTTAAAATAAATTATATATATATATATATATATATATATATATATATATATATATATATATATAAGTATTTATGGGGGCATCTTCCGCTTGATTTTGCCCCGGGCATCTACATAGGTCTGCACGCCACTGGATAGAGATAGAGATAGAGATAGAGATAGAGATAGAGATAGAGATAGAGAAAGAGATAGAGATAGAGATAGAGATAGAGATAGAGATAGAGATAGAGATAGAGATAGAGATAGAGATAGAGATAGAGATAGAGATAGAGATAGAGATGCAGATGGAGATGTAGATTTAGATTTAGATTAGAGAGCAGACGGACTAACTATTGGTTGTATATACATTATCTTTTGAAAGAAAAGTATTCGAACCACAATCTAATATTATTTGCAATATCTTCAGATATGGGGGAGAATCTTGAGAAAAGAAGAGGTAAATATATATAAATATAGATATAGATATAGATATAAATATAGATATAGATATAGATATAGATTTAGATATAGATATAGATATAGATATAGATATAGATATAGATATAGATATAGATATAGATATAGATATAGATATAGATATAGATATAGATATAGATATAGATATAGATATAGATATAGATATAGATATAGATATAGATATAGATATAGATATAGATATAGATATAGATATAGATATAGATATAGATATAGATATAGATATAGATATAGATATAGATATAGATATAGATATAGATATAGATATAGATATAGATATAGATAGAGATAGAGATAGAGATAGAGATAGAGATAGAGATAGAGATAGAGATAGAGATAGAGATAGAGATAGAGATAGGGATAGGGATAGATATAGAGATAGAGATAGATAGATATAGATATAGATATAGATATAGATATAGATATAGATATAGATATAGATATAGATATAGATATAGATATAGATATAGATATAGATATAGATAGAGATAGAGATAGAGATAGAGATAGAGATAGAGATAGAGATAGAGATAGAGATAGGGATAGGGATAGAGATAGAGATAGAGATAGAGATAGAGATAGAGATAGAGATAGAGATAGAGATAGAGATAGAGATAGAGATAGAGATAGAGATAGAGATAGAGATAGAGATAGAGATAGAGATAGAGATAGAGATAGAGATAGAGATAGAGATAGAGATAGAGATATAGATATAGATATAGATATAGATATAGATATAGATATAGATATAGATATAGATATAGATATAGATATAGATATAGATATAGATATAGATATAGATATAGATATAGATATAGATATAGATATAGATATAGATATAGATATAGATATAGATATAGATATAGATATAGATATAGATATAGATATAGATAGATATAGATATAGATATAGATATAGATATAGATATAGATATAGATATAGATATAGATATAGATATAGATATAGATATAGATATAGATATAGATATAGATATAGATATAGATATAGATATAGATATAGATATAGATATAG